GTGTCCTGCAATTGGAAATGAGTGAGTCTAGTGATGGCTTCCCTGGCTCGGCTCATCTCCTCAGGATTCTAATTCGCCAGAGCCACCTGCATCAGAGCCACGTCCACGCCCACCAGAAAGCGGAATCCCAGTCGGTGCAATTAATTACCCGCAGCCTTAACTAAGTCTGCATCGCGCCTCAATCAAACGCATCATCAACAGGAACGAAAGGCTGGACATAGTGGCCGAATCTGGGGATACTCTTACTGATGAAATATTTTAAGGGAAAGAATTTATTTTATTCAGAAGCTAATCTTGAACATATTCATCATCTTTTGTATATTTCGCAATGTTATTTATTCTTTGTGTGACCTTCTTGGGTCTCTTAGTGTTCATATAGTTCATTGGCAATTAATATTATCTCAAGAGAAAGTTTTCTTCAAGCTCTTCTCTAGACTTGATATCTAAAGATTAAAAACCAAACAAGTCGGTGCACTGATAATACGATAAACAATTTGATAAATAAGAATCTTTAATGCGAAACAATGAATTTGGGTCTTGAGATGCAATTGAAAAGCCAAAAAGAAAGGGTTCTCATATTGATTTTTCACGTTTTAAACTTCTCCTCAAAATGATTGTAACCTGTGCATAGGTATAAGAAGTCGAGGCCGAGACTCTTTTACTTTAGCAATCTCGATGATGATCTCTCCGTCCGCTTCTCTGCCTTTTCGCCCGCCCAACCTCACGGATCTCATTCGCCGGCTCTTGAGTTGTGGAGTAAATTGCATGCACGCCTTTTTAACCCAAATATGAAGTGCCCTCCTCTGGCCACCGCCGGCTCTGTTGGTTCCGCTGATTGTCACGGGCTGATAAGTCGGCGGCAAACTAAAGATGGATTCGTGAGGCTATCGTGACTTTAAAGGGAGATTGAGGTTAACTTTTGTAGAACTACAAACTGGTGAAGAATAATAACAATATCAGAACCTATGTAAATGGGAAATAAAGATCTATGTTGTCCCTGATACAATTTCCTGAACATGTTGATATGTTTTTATTCATTCCTAATACCAAAGTAATTTCATTCATGGTATTAATAATAAACCCAGCTAAATATCTTATCACTCTTAAATTTGAATCAAATTTCCAACCTGAAATCAGATTTTTCGTATTATAAATATATAGCTAACCTGATCTGGTCCATCGCTTCAGAGACAACTATTCGCCAGGCAGCAGCACGGATTAATGAGTCGCGCAGATCAGCGATCTGAGAGAACGGCGGCTGGAAAACGTTTACGTGACTGAGTTTTCAATTATTTTTATTGCACTCGAGTGCGGAGGAGCTCTTCGGGCTGAGGGGAGGAACGGGGGATCGCTGGACGACCGACTTTAATTGCAGGAAGTCGCATTTTGAGTGTGCAATTTATTAAGAAATTATTTATTGCGAAGCAAAATTGATTTAGAAAGTCGTGTGACTGCCTCAGAGCGGGTTCACGGTGTGTGGCAAAGTGTCCAGGTAATTATTGGTAGCGATCTTCCAGTCGCACTCCAAGTGTTCTAACACCTAGCCCTCCTGCGATCCGCAATCCTCAATCCGCCATCCGATTTCCTGCCACACCCACCCACGGGTGATGGAGGGCTGCTGCAATTATTCTGCAAATGCTGAAAGAAACCTGGGGAAGCGGCTCTCTAGCTCATTGCCAAGTTTGAGGAGTGCATGGCAAACTGGCGATGAGTAATTGGACTTGCTTTTGATCTCCTATAAATAGCAAATGGCACTTTGAAGTGCATTCGGCGGCTGTTTAATTAAAATCTGCGCCTAAGAAAATAAACAGATGCCCCAAGTGTCATGCTGGGGAGTCAAAGGGGAGTCTGAACTAACTCGATGTACCTTTTACCTAGCTAGAGCTGGAGTTCCTTGGCTTTCATCGAACTGGGTCAGTGAAATTCGATTTTAACAGTTTCCCTGATGGCTCGCGGCCCTCCGCTATCTCGCCCATTGCGCCTCATTAATCAAATTAAATTGCTTGAGAAATGCCGGGAAGTATCTCGGCAATGGGGGCATCATAGTCCCTGGGTTAGCGGAGGTCAGTCGATGCGCCCGCAAGTAGGCAACGTTGCGATGCGATGCCCAGAGCAGATAGTGAAGAGAAGAGGTTGGAAACATCCCCTGCTTATGTGGAGCAGGAGCAGTGAATCGCAAAGATTCTGACACAACTTGGGTCTCTAACGGCCTGTCACTTATTAAAGAAACATTCACTGTGTCAAGGCCCTTCAGATGGCACAACTTTAAGAATATTTATAAAGATATATCTGTCCTAGATTTCATAGAGAACTATAGATTCAGAGCTGCTTGAATGATTTCATCTCCTTCCTGCAAATTGCAATTATTCGCTATATAACCAACTTGATTTTCTCTTTCCATTACTCCATTTCTTACCTAAAGTCCTCTTTATTTACCTTCTCCGAATGAGAACTAAATTAAGGCCTTTGCCACCTACTGTACCTGCTCAATAGCCTTGTACTGGTGTTGCTGCTGTCTTGGCACTTTCCTGGAGAGTCTCTCACTGGCTTCCACTCCCATTAATGGCGTTAGCTTGCCAGCTCCGAAGCGAAGTTCCTTTAAGATGCCACCCGGGTGTCAATTGCTAATTGCTTTCGTTTGGAGCGTTCTTGCTCTCCGCAGTGCCAGCGCGCACTCGAGACTTTTAATCAACTTGGGTGAGCCGCCGAGGAACCTGGGCTATCATTGAGCGGGCTTTCACTGGGGCAGCAACAACATATCATTAATGCAATCAACTTGAAGAGCCCGCCGTGGAAACTTCCAAGCAGCCGGAGCTGGGTCGTCCGACAGGTGGCGCCATCTACTCCTTAGCCTGACTTCCTTCGCTCAATTAGGCATCGTCTCTCGTCTCGTCTCTCCTCCCCTGGCAGCATCTAGCTTCACCCAGCATCTCGATTGTCTTTGCCTCGGCGTTCTGTCAACGTGTGGTTACTTGGAGGGACACCTCCTCCCCGGTGGAGCAGAGCTAGCTGCTTGCCAGGCACGCGCGTGTCGCATCGATTACAAAGTCTGCCGCCATCGCTGCATCCCAGCAAACTCGACATCCCAGCATCCCGGCAACCCAGCATCTTGTTGTGTTTTGCATGTAAATACTTGTAATTTGTCATTTAAGTCAACCTGTCACGCCCACCTTTTGCGAAACGCCCCTCTCCTGACAGGTTTCCTTCAAAACGCGACGGTAAACAGCTTTTCAATGGGTCATTGAGTACAGGCAATGGGTGGAGTCAGCGGGAAATGAAGTCGCTAGCTGAAAGTGGGTAAAAGGCAAGTCTAAAGTAAAATAACCAATGAACGTGCAATAAGCAATTATTGATTGATGATTTTGACTGATTTTCCAACAGGTTTGAAAGTGACTTAAAGTCTATCAACTGGAAATTGAATAAAAGTAATGCTTAATCAAATAATAAAATGTAGTTTCTAAGTAAATTCTAGGTAAATAAGTTTAATAAGTTTTATATAAGTTTTCGAAGTGCAGCTTTAAGTGCTGCCTGAAGTACTTGGTATGTATTTTCGTTTAAAGAAAAAATCTTGAGGCATTTTGTAGGAGTTTTCTTCACACACGCAAACTTTTAAATCATTTCGCCGCCACGCAACGTCTGCCACATGTGGCCAAACCCCTGATGTTGCCCCGCCTCCGGGCAAAGACTCTTTGCCACCCTACTCACAGCATTGGCATCTGAAGATCGCATGCCACTGAGTGCGAACAGCGGGGACTCCGACCCAAAACTCCCCTTTGGCCTGCAGTGTCAAAACATGCCAAATAAGAGTGGAGGCACTGGAGAACGACATGCTGGCAGGGCCATGGGCTTCATAAATTCCCGCTGTCCGCGAGAATCGTATCTGTATCGCATTTCTTCCGTATCGTGCCAGCAAAATATGCTGCTAATTGAATTGAACTGGCCCTTCCACTCGTTGCCACAGTTCGATGAGTTGCTATTCTTGTGATTTTCGCTGGGACAAAGTGAATGCCATTTCTACTTGAGCAGACAATGCCGGCGGAGCAAGTGCAGTATCAGCCGGAGACTGAAGTTTCCCCCCAAATGAAGGGGCGGGATAAACATGCCTCTTTCAGTTCGCAACCAATTAAACCAGTTTCCTGTGTCGTCTCGTTTCACAGAATCACATACGTTGCTGATTGTGATGCCCTGAAAAAAGGAGTGAGACTTTCCCTCATAATGATTAAGCCATTAAATTACCAAAAGTATATGAAATTCACTTGGTAAATAGAACTACGTTTCATATATATATTTTTATATATACATAGTTCATATATTTAAATACTGCAAATATCTTACTCGAAGAGTATTTAAAAGTCAGCTTGCGATCGCAGCCTGGTGAAATAACAAGGCAACATCGCAGCTGCGTGCACATCAGTGACGCCCTCATAATCAAAGGGGATCCCCACTCCCAAGCCAAGCCAATCCTCCCAAGACTCAGCTTTTGCGCAGTCGCAGACATCGCAATCAACACAGAGATGAAATTGAATAAAAAAAGAGCCACAAAAAAGCCAGCAGCACTTAAACGAAAATTATTTAACGCAAAACGTGCGAATGTTTATTTAAAAGCAAAAAGCAGAGCAGACGACAAACAAGAAGCGAGTCTGCCAGCCAAGTTCAAGTGGAGACGCCTGATATATGGAGATACAGATATAGATGTTAATTGGACAGAGTTCAATTCTTGGAATACGATGGGGAGAGTATTAAAGCCTAGATTTTGGAGTGGAGAGACATCAAATTGGAGCTATATTGTTATTTATGTATAAGCTTGAACGAAATAACTATTGGGTAAATTCACAATTACACCAATTCAATATTAAAAAACAACGTGATCGAATTAAGACTACATTTTTAGTCAAATTTTGACAATTTTAACGATAAATATTTAATAGTAATATTCATTTTAAAGGCAGTGCCCACCAAGAACCAATGAACAAATAAGCACTTTTTAGGTGTAAGTGTATTTTATTATAATAAAAGTTGCTATATTATTAATTTGTTTGTATGGTGCGTCTGCGTACTGGTCCGAATCCTCGTCCGCGTCCTTTTGATGGAATTTGAATCCAATTTGATGTCATCGGTGCGACTGCAGGGATGATGAATGTTAATGATTTCCCGCCTTACTTGGTTTTCTCTTATTAATATTGTTTACTTAATATTGTATCCTTTAGTGGCCAGCACAGCACAAAAATATCAGCCGGCTAAGAGGGATAACTAGTTAGGGATATTGTAGGAATAGGGATCATCGGTCTTACCATGTCTGGGTAGGTGGCAGATAGTTTTTTTGAATGGTCATACCCGTTATATTGTTTCATAAATATTCTTTAAATTCTGAGAGGGATCACTTGTTAAGGCTTTTGTAGGAATAGGAATTATCAGTCTTACCGTCTTCGTTCTTTAATGGTGTGTTTCTCAGATACTCTCTTGTCCTAAGAGCGCAAAACTTAGAATTAGAATCTTAAAATAAAAAGGTATTCGAAATATTCTTACTTCTTTTTTGGTGACTCCTTACTGCTAAATGAAAATATGTATAAAGTGTTATGCTTAATGCTAGAATACAAAATTATCACTTTATGCTTAAACCTAGCCGAGAGATATTTTTATATAAATATATTATTTTTGAACTGAGCTGGGAGCTGTGCTCGCTCTAGAATTTGGAATTGAACTGAATATTCCAAGCAGCTCATAGTCAAGTCGAATTTGGTGCCTATTAGAAAATCATGGACTACTAGTTTTCTTATTTATAAACAAGCAATCAAAGAAAGTCGAAATTCTGTACCCTTGCAGTGAAAATCCATCATAACTCAGTCAAAAATTAATTTATTTCCAATCGGAAAGCTTTGTTTTTAATAAGTTAACCAATCTGCATACTCAGTATAAAACCTAACGTTTTTGCTAATTTTTAACAATCTTAACAATGTAACCCCTTATAAAATTTTCAAATATATTTTCTTCCAGATATGGCTAGATTGTCGCGTCAGTTGATGCTGATTTTTGGGGTCGGAAACGACTCCTTCATTGCGTTGCATTCTTTTGACTAAAGTTATAAAACACTTGCAAAGGTTAATATGTTGTTTTACTATTTTTTTATATTACCAAGTCCAATAATTTAATTTTTAATACAAAGATTTAATATAAATAGGAAAAGACCGAAACCATAACTCATTCAGTTAGTCCCAAACTTGTCAGAGCATCATAAAGCGTAGCCATTGGGTTGGAGGGTCTGTGTTGCACGCAACTAAGGGCCAAATCTGAGGGCAGTTTGATAACTGTTGACCAAAGTAAAGTAACCATATGTCCCACCCCTACCCCTCTCCCTTGACATAAAGATCCCCTCACTGCACCCCCCCGCTTTTGGCTTATTTCAATCAAAATCAAGTGCAGATCTCCATCCGAGCCGTGTTCGTGGCTTGCATGGAAATTACACGCACAAAACACACAAACTAATTTTCCAACAAATTAGACGCGCAAGTAGATGCCACACCCCTGAACCGCCCACCCCCTGCCAGCGTACAGCCCCTTGTTCATAATTTATTCGCCATTCTTCTCCGCTGGCTTTCTCTTTTTTTGTGAGCTTTTTTATTGTCCAGCGCAATTCGTGTGCGTAATTTGCCTCTGTTAAGTTTCATTCGCTTTCCTTTTGCCTGGGAAAACTTTGCTTTGATGGGGTGCGAGGGAGGTCAGTGGGGGGTTACTCCGGCGGCATGCTGATTTTGGGCGCTTGATAATTGCCTGGGAAGTGGGCAAAAGGACCTCGACCTACCCTCGCAGATGTCGTCTCTGGGTAAATGTGCGTGAACATGCGTCGAGACTCTGGATTTCTTTTTGGCCGAAAAGCTGCATTTGATGCGAGAACATTTTCCGGGAGCATGCATGGCCGCACACCCAGGATGATGGGCCGGGTCACGTGACCTTAATTAGACCTGCCAAAAACCAAGAAATAAAAAAAAAAATACAAGAAGAAGGGAAAACAACAAATGCTACAGTCGCAGAGCTCGGTAACCCTTCGGCCGACTCCAGCGTTCCTTTGTGCCGCCTTGCGGCATGGCCTCCTTTGTGCACTTTAAATGGTTAAGCACAATTTCCAGGCGAGTTGCCTGGACTTGAAGCTGGAATTGCCTCCAATTACGGGTTTATGCAATTAACTGCGACCAGCCGCGTTGCCACTGAAATCAGTGGATGCCATCACAATCATTTCATCGAGCTGCGCTTTTCGTCTTCGCTCGCTTTGTGCACCTCCTCCAGGAGAGGGCACTGCGAAATGTAATAAATTTCAATTATTTACTTAAATGCACATTAAGCTGAATTGCTACCGTCTGTCCATGTCTGAGTGGCGCGGAAATGTCTGATAATGAAAACTGCGACCGGTTCAGGCTTCGAGCTTATTATTAAAAGGTTATTTGCATTCAACGCGGCCTGGGGGCAGAGCCTGGTCAAATTGGAACATAACAAGTTCATTAAAGCTAAAGGGGAATACGAACCTATAGTTAGATCGAATTATAAAGTAAAAACTATCAGGCTTTCCTTCAATTCGATTATGCTATTTTTGAATTATTTATTTAAAACAAGAAAGTATTAGTAATCAATATTCTTATTACTTGCTAATTGGTAATATCTAAACTTATTATATATTACTAACAAAGTTACCAGGTTACCTGGTTTGGATTAAATTCGAAACCCTGCTCTTCTATTTTCCATTTTCTCTATCCTTTATTCTTTACTGCGTAATTCCAAGGACATAGAAGCAGATTTACGCTTAATCACACACGAAGGATGCAGATTTTTGTGGGCCAACTGAAGAACTCATTCGGAACTAAAGTACATTGGTGCAAGAATCCCTTTTACTTGCCTCTGGAATCTATGTAATAATCGAATAATAACATAAGTTGTAAATATTTCTTACTAATCAAAATTAACTTCATTTTAAAACTAGAGATATATTAACGTTCCTAGAGGACTCTATGCCATGTTCTGTCTTGAGTTTTTTTAACTGGCCTTCCTTGTTTCTAACTATCATTTATTTTTATAAAATCGAATCTAAGCATAATATTTTTCAATGTTGGAACAAACAAAAAGTGTAATTGATTTTTATCCAGTGTTCGCAGGAACCATGCTGTTTGCTGGCAGGACGAGGTCCTTACCTGGTGGCACGGTTGCTCATTCGCATGCACAAACGCAGACGCTGACTTTGTTCATTAGAAGCTCCATAAGAGCACCATGCTTAACCCTTGTTTGCGTCCGTGTCCGTGGCCCGTAACCACCGAAACGCTCTCAGATTCATCCGTGGTCCTTGCGGTGCTTACAGTTTTTTTTTCTTTTTCTGGAGGTCCTGCCTCTTTTTCGGGCACGAAACGGACTGCCTGCTGTGAGCACTTGGGGCTTTCCCGCCCGCTGTGTGTGTATGTGGCCCCATTAGCCAAAGGATTTATATTACAAGCTCACACATAAAAAGCACCGCAAGATATTTTATTTTATGTGAATTTAATTGTAATTTTACTACGAAAGACGGAGGTTACTCAACATATTTCCACTTGGCTTTACTTCCTCAATCCTTACAGTATATTAATAGGAATGCGCTTTTCATAATAAGATATTTAAGCCCCAAGCACCAGGCAAGGGAAAAGTCGATCATAATCGAAAAAAAAACCAAACACAAGAAATCTACCAGGAACACATCAATAAATTGAAGGGTTCAAAGGATAATTACACATTAAACAAACTAGGTTAGATTAAAGAAAATAGTACTGTTTTCTTTTAAATATTTAAAGGAAAATCGGACAACAAAATGAATCATTTAATCTTCTAGGTGCAAGAAAATACAACACAGCAATAATTTTGTTGTTCAATTTCTAATTTGTCTAATGACAGCTATATAATAAACTCCACTATTTCGAAATTTCCATCTATTTAGTTTAAATACAGAGAGAATAGCTTTCTTAGCAACGAAGATTGTATATAATTTTCTACTGAAATGTATGGCTTTGTGCAATGACCACTAAATGTTTTCATCAAGACATACAATGAGTAGAAAACATACAAGTAATAAGGGGTCAGAAAGAATTTTTTGCATACACTTCCGGTTGGTTCCCTAAGCACCCTTCAATGTAGTAAGAAACGACTTATTTACTTGCTCAATATTTTTCACAATAAATATATGTATGTATATTCTAAACTATTTTGCCGAAGAAAGTTACTGGCGATTACTGATAAAACCACACAAGTAGCACCTGTTTCTTCGGACAGTGAATTTCTTAGAAAAACTTTTTATAGCAGAAAAGGAAAGCTTGGAAAGTTTTTGAGTAGAAATATCAACGGAAATATGGAAAACGAAGAACCTCCCTCCTTCATCACAGCCACCCACAAAGAGGCTCAAAGTGCGCACATCCTGCTTAGCCGGGTTTTTGTAATGTGTCCTCGTTGTTGTTCCTACCGCTCTCAGGACTCTCACAACCACACACACACACCCACACACAACCACGTGGAAAAGGGACAATTTGTTTAAAGGTAACAAACAATTTTGGCGCTCCCAATTTTTTGCGGTGAAGAGAAAGGGAGTTAGCCCAGGGTACAGTCGGAATGCTTTGCATAAAGTTAAGCTGCAAAAGTTGAAAATATTTGTTGCCGCCGAGATATATACAATATTCATATACCCTCAAATTTAGCCTAATGCAGCAACAATAACAAAAGGCAAACAACAAAGATAAAGTTCAAAGGAAATGTGGCACAGGAAAGGCAAACTGAGAGAGTGAGAGTGAGGGCAAAAAGAAAAAACAACAAAAGAGGAAGGAGATGAAAAGTAAAACAAAATATTAAGAAAGTTATGCCAGCAAGATGAAAAGTTGTCTTGTGGCCTTAACTTTTCCATATTTTTCGAATGATAAAAACGCATCAGTTGCACATGCATTGGGTCACACACGTGTGGAAAATCTATAATTTAAGGAGACAAAGATGTCCTTTCGCAGAGCTAATTCAAATAACAAATCATATGATCAATATCCTATTGTTCACACATCAATAGAATATTTTCAATATTATTGTGAGATATTACCTTGTGTTTCCCAATTATTTTCTCTGTGTATATTATGTGCCTTCATTCACAGTCTTGATTTCCTTCCATAAACAATTAGTTGAAACCCAGAAAATGGCCAACATAAATATTTTCACTTCGCTTTCATTCAACATCTCTCGCCGAGCTGAGTAAATAAAAATCAAGACAACAAAATAATTTGCATATTTTAGGGCGGTATTTTTGGCGCGCTACTTTAAATTGATATTACAAGAGCAATTTGTGTTAGCCGACGGGGAGGAAAATCGGTGGAGCAGGGAGGAGGAGGAAGGGAGAAGGGGGAAGTACATGAAAAAACTGTGCCACGACTCTGTTTGTTGTCGCTGGCGCAGCGACGATGTTATTCCCACTTTTCGTTTCGTTTCAGTCGCTGGGGCGTGTTCATTCATTTCCTGTTGCGCCCTAAGTTATGCAAAGCGTATGGCAAAGTGAGCCAGGATGCGGATGTGGATGTGGATGTAAATGTGCGAGAGGATAAGGCACGGGGAGAACGGGCATTGCCGCCGGATGAAAGCGGAAATGGATGCGATAACATGGATTTTATAGCAACGAGATCTTGGTTAAGGCTTAAAGACAAAGATCTTTAAGGTTGTGGAATTCAATATCAGAGGGTTTAATTTGTTTGTTTTATTTAGTCGGTACGAGTTTAAGGTGATTACAAATCACTGGTAAATTGTAATCTTTTACTTCATTTTATGGTTATATTTCCTGTACAATAGATTGATTTACACATCAAATTCCCTAGTTCGAAACGCGCTCTTTCTTTAAGTGTACTCCTGATTTCCAGTTATGATTTTTGAAAATCTGGTTCCCGGTGAGAAGCTTCTTTGCTATATTCCTGGTCATGATACTGCTTATGGTATCTAAGGCTGTTGAAATGATCAATTTTGATTCCAATCCCAACAAGAATTCCTACTTACAAGGAATCTTTGCTCTCGAAGAAGCACCATTTACGCATTCGTCCATTAAACTACATATGCCCAGACGGGGAGTAAAAATTCTTCTATAGGAAAGCTCCTCCGTCAGAGGAGGAACAGGCGCGGTCTCATGAACTTCAGGCTGACTTTCGGGTTCGTCCTCCTGTTCTTCCTCGGAGCATTCTCCACTCGCATCCTCCTTGAAGAGTGGCATGTAGATATCGACTGCACGTCGCAGCCCCCGAGAGGTGGAGCGCAAATACAGTCTTGCCGGTTTCACATTTGCCGCCTTGGCAACCCGGGCCGCCCTCTTCTCGGCCTCGAGTGTGGAGGGTTTGCGACCCATTTTAAAGCCTATACCAGTTCCTGCGATGGGAGAGTTGCCCAGTGCTGAAGCTGGAGAGCTCACCTTCTTAATCAGGCCGAGAAAGGAACTCCGCTGGCTGAGGACGTTCGGACCAAGGGAAGAATCCATATTGGGTTCAGAAAGTGTAACAATATATTTAACTGGACGATTTTCGACTGGGCTAGGTAGAATTATAAAACTTAATGATACATATACAATTTTGAGATGACTTTTGAGCGCTGATGTGCTTTTCAGATTTTTTAGGAGCCTAATTTTTAATAACATTTTCACTGAGTTCGTGATAGCTTCACTATTGTTATGTTATTTTTACCCACCACATAGTCATACAGTTTATTCCCGTGTAACGAAACAAATTAAACTTCCTGCGGCCCAGGACAACATTTTGTAAGCTAGAAAAAATATGTCATAGTTGATACCCACCAACTAGGAAATTAAAAACCATTAAAATGAAAGCCATAACAATAATTCAAAAGCAGAACGCCCTCAGAAATGGCTGACAGACCCATCCGATCCCCTTGATTAGCATACGGCGAAATCGCAATAATAAAAGTAATTACTTTGATTACATTTCTAACGGACGCTGTGTCAGTGGCTGACGGTGGGAATGTGAACTGGAGAGAAAGGGGGAATTCCAGGACCCTCAAAAGTCAACGGGAGAGACACGGACGGGCAGACAGACACATGTATAAATAATAAACACGGCGGCAAAATGAAGAAGGAACAAATGCAAAATGAAGAAAATGTTTCCGCAGGCGGAAATTGGGCGGAGAACACTCACACACACACACACACCCGCCGCTCGCATCAACATTAAAAATGTATTTTAATGTGTCGCCTGCTTTTGCCCATTTCGACTGCCTGCTGTCGGCGTTAATGTCTTTCATTTGGCAGGCAAATATTCCAGAGCCGCGATGGATGGGCGAGCGACCCCACCGCCGACCTCCAAAAACACCACCCACCTGTCAGGCAGGAACAACAGACCATTAGGCCAACAATTTTCATTGCGTTTGTAAATCATAAAATGCTGTCAAATTCCAAAGCTCGCCCCACCCCCTGCCTTTGTGTGTGCTGCCGCCATGTTTGCCTTTGACTTTCAGCTAATTACTTGTGATTTAATTTGAAATTGTAATTAGCCAGCAAAATGTCATTTTTTTGACGGCTCTGACAGGCGGCGGCGTGGCAGTCGAGGCACTGTCTCATATGTTTCTGGTTTAACGCCTTGAAGTCTTTTAATTAGACAGCCACAACAAAAAAAAAAGGGAAAAGGGTCTGCAGTGTGGCAAGGATTTAATAAAAGGATTTCCAGAATTTTCCGCACGAGCAGCAGCAATTTCTTGATATTCGATTCGTGCTTATACAGAAAGTTATTTCGTTTCCATTTTGTTTTTAATAAAGTTACATTAATTTTCCGATAATGCTGTTTGTAATATCCTAAAATCAAAAAGGAAGGGTCTGTCTTTGGTTCAGGACTGATAGGAACGCATCAATCGGCAGGGAAAACAAAACATAGACTATGGTAACGGTGCCGCATTGAGACAGAGTCCTGCCAACTGCAGTTGAAACGCCATGGAAATAAATTTGACTTCCACCATGCGATTTTACTGACGAAGAGCAAAGTCCCTTGACGTGCCTCGCCCGAGGCAACAAAAGCACAGCACGAGCCATCGGCTCCTCCCAGAGAGGAATGTGCCCACCTGGACCCCCATCCTTCGGGTCCTCGTCCGAGATAGAGCCAAGCCAAAGCTGTTGATAAAGCGCACATTAAAATATATACGTATCTAAGTATCTCAAAGATACAGCTTTGCTCAGCTCGGGCAGGTGAGGCGGCAGTAGAGCGTCCTTCATCCGCTGCTAGGGGGGAGTAAGGGGCATGAGAAGCATTCAAATAAAAAACCGTGAGAATCAAAGCAGCAGACAAGTGGAGCGGAAAGCTTTCAGTGCGTGGCGTGGCCAAGGACCAAGGACCAAGGGGAAAGCCAGATGAAGTCTGTCCAAACCAAAAAACTGTCGGAGGCACTGAAGCACTCCGGCGATTGTCCGGCGAAGGAGCCGGAGTCACCGTCGTTCGTCCTCCCGTCTTCTGGCGAGTTGTTAAGTTTCGTCCTCTTTCTCTTTTACGTTTCATTTATTACGCAGGGGTTTTCCTTTCGTTCCTTTTTGTAAATTAAGAATTTCCCTGCAGCTTTTTACAGCTTCTCAATGACTGACTATGCCCGTCCCATCTGGCCGCTCATCCCGGAGTCTCTTAGCTGACTGTTGGCGTTATAAAAGCCCAACGCTTCATTGCACAAACATAGTCGAGGACCGGAAGGCAGCCAGGCGGGCATCGTCGATTCCAAAGGCCTAAGGGGACTGAAACAGGAGCAGGGTGTAGGTAGCAGGGAGCAGAAGCGGGAGCGGCAGCGGGAACGGGAGCAGAAGTGGCGTCGGGAAGCGTTCACCACTTAACAGGGCACACAACTTGGCCCACAACTCGGCTCAAGAGTTGGCGATATCGTTTCTGCGCACGTGAGCATAAAATACTTCACGGAAGCCTTTCCCCGGAGTCTGTGGCAAAGACAAGAACTCAAAATGAAATTAATTAAAACAATATAAACAATAAGCGAAAGACATGCGAGCGCTCCCGGTAAAAGCGAAGCGATGAGCATGTAAGGCAGACATGGTGCCGTGATTTCGCTTTACCACATCTTCAGGTTACGTAAATGCCTTGTTAAAGCCGAGTCAATATAGTTATAGAACTCAGTTTAAATGATAGGATATATAAAATTCAAGTTGTTTAAAGCAACGACTGTTCGATTTACATAATGCTTCTCCAGTATCCCATCCTCTAGTATCCCATCACTCAAGCGAAATCAAAGCAAATAAAATAAGCAAATTATGAGCGAGATAAAATAAATTCAGCTTGGGTCTGGCCAAATTGTTGAGTGCAGAAGATTGGACATTGATAGCCTACGTGGTCAGCCAGCTAAGGAGAGGCACGCTGGAGAGACAGGACCAAAAAGGCAGTGCAAAATATGGCAGGGTAAATATGTTTCAAATATTTATGCGTCCATTCTGCCCTTCACCTATTTTTGTGCGGATGCGAGCACTCTTTGTCTTCGGCCTGACAAAAACCGCGGGTCCCCACGAAGGCTCAGAGACCTCCTCCTTTTGTTGGTCCTTGCGGTTGCCACTTCCATCAGAATGAAGGGGAAACGTCGCCCGAGACACGTTTTGGCAATGAACACGAGAAAGGAACGTGTGTTTATTTTTATTTGTGGGCCCACAAAAGGTGAACGCCAGAGAAAAGGTGTGCCGGAGACTGCGATGTGTTGGCTCCCGGCGCAAAATTTATGGGACAGCCGGGCTCATAAGCGCCACACAGTGTAGTCCTTGCCGCGGAGCAAAGGATACGTGGAAGCTCTGGCTGGGCTGATTGAATTTTCCAATGCATACTTGCGGGCGGCTGTTGTAAATTCTTTTTTTCCCCATCTAATTGGAAGCCTGAAAGGAGCCGAGGTGCCGTCATCTAATTTAAAAAATAATTCACTGAACGACAGAACCATCTGAAATAGTTGTCAATATTTGCATGAAGAGAGGAAAGAGATTTTTAATTTTCTGAAGAAATATAAATATTATCCTGTTCAGTACACTTAAATTCAAATTGAAAATTTTCCTGCCATCTGTTTGCTTAAGGAATTTTGATTACATTAGAAAAATAATCATTTTGATTGGAATTTTAAAAACTATTCTAATTTAAAACTCAACAGGGCTTGTGCGGTAATTTTTATAAATACAAATGAAACTATAAGTATATATTTTTTAACCAAATAAAAAAAGTTGCTTCCTTATCTTGTGTGCTTGCTAAACCTCTTCCTTTCTCAATGTTTTTCCTTGCAAATATTTGCTCAGGTCTCCGGTTACATGTTCGCTCACCGACCGAGGATCTGTGCACATAAAATGCAAAGGTAAACAGAATCATTAGAGGCGAACACACCTGAGAGCTGGTTAGGGTTCCAGGGCTTGGGATCGCTCCGCTCGAGCAGATGCGGGCTATTAACAATGTTGCCACTTCATTCAAATTAAGCACGGACCCACGACTCCTTCGTGCCATTCCCCTGCCCGTTGGCCTACGTGACGGTTACCGCAAAACGTCTTTTGCCTTTCGCCTCAATGTTCAAATTTTAATCGCATTTCTTGGTCGTGGCTGAGTCCTTTTCACTTGCCTTTCCTTTGGCTTCGACACTTGAACGGGGACAGATCAGCAAAAAAGGGGTTTTTCTGGGCCTGTCCTGTCTGTCCTGTTTCGTCCTTTGGCCCGCACCTCAGTCAGTCATTTGTCTTTGCCCTTGCCGTTTGCTGCGTTTCCCGCAAAACGAAAATGGAAATTGGTTTTCTCTCGGTTACTTACTGTCCTTACCAGAAGCAAAACCCACCAGCACCGACTTTCCACCCAACACCCAACACCCACTCCTACTCCCACCGTCAACGGCCACAATAACATTCATTTAAAATGTAAATAAAGTGACAAATTACCTGAATTAGTGACACAACGTACAGCGCGTTTACGCTGCTCTTTTCGACTCGTCCTGCCATTGCCATTCCCACTTCTTTCTGCTTCCTCCCAAGGTATTTACTTTTGTTTTTAATTTAAGGCTCCCAATTTAGATGTTGACTTTGGTTGGTGAAATGTGCTTCTGGTAAGTGGGTTGATGCCGTGAGAGAGCTTATCGGCGGGGTAATCGAATGCAGAATCCTTCGGTGGGAATGCTGCGTCGAGAATCTGTGCTGGGCTTTAAAGAAGATCCTACCTCATCACATTTCCCGCTCAGCAGAAGGGAAGAAACTTTAAAGCCTTTGCCCAGCCAGCTATTAAATTCAATTATTGCCTCAGCACAATATTGAATCAACAGCAGCCGCACCGACGGAACTCTACGCACTTTCGGATGGCGCCCGAGCCCGGGTACGCTTAAGTCCTTCGCACAGCTGTCGAGTAAATATTTAATTTACAAAATTCCATAATAAAATTTTCGTTCAGCACCGCCGCGTCTTGGCCCCCGTCTCGTTCGTCGAGTTTTGTTGTTCTTTAAGGCAGCTGGGTTTTCATTTCGCATGCCAATTGTTTGGCAAGTGTCAAAATAATAACAAGCCACCCCCCAAAAGCAAGGTGAAGTCCCAGTTGCAACCCCTTTGGCCAGGACCAGAGGAGGTGGTGCATACCAATGCCAAGTGTCAGAATATTTTGACAAATTTTTTATGTTAATTTCGTATTAATAAAATAAATATTAAATCAGTGCGGCAAGGGATGGCGCCGAGGGTGGCGATGACAAATGGCAAAGGCATTCGGCCCGATGACTATAATAGAGGGCAAAACCACTAATTTATCCCCAGAGAGTGGAGATCCCGGCAGCTGTTACCCTCATTCCAAGGCTGAATCTGAGCTCGTTGAACCCTCCACCAGCCCGCCGTGTTGGCTTTAATTGGAGCTTTGGCCAACTTCTTTCCCTCAGCCGGCATCGGTTTATATTTCGGAAATTTAAAGACCCAATTCCGTTATTATATTATTTAATTTTACACTCTCAACTCGTTGATTTTTATGGGATCTGCGGCATTTTCCCTGCTTAACTCCTTCATCTGCCACAACTGGGAAGCCCTTTGGCTAATTATTTGAGCTTAATGCCGTCGCCCAAAAAAAGTTGTTCGACCATTAACAGAATACGAAGTTGCTTTTTGAGATGTGCTTTAAGTATTATTTCCGTTTCCAGGCGGTGTTTAAAAATGTATTTAAAGGCATTTCCATTAACAATTATATTTATAGCTCAATATATTCCTATGACTTGGTTGGTACCTAAACATGATCTATGAAATCATAGAACTAGATAGTTGTATTCTAAAAGTTGTATGATAAAAGATGTTATTCACCTTAAACTCAACTTAGAAAATGGTGAAGAAAAGTACAAATAGCAGGCTCTGATCGAAACGTCAAAATGCTAAGCATATGAAGTGCTAGATCTATACCATTCAGTAGTAATTTTTATCTGGAGCTCTCAGGTCTTGCCACATAGAACTGAAAGTAAAAAACACCTTCCAACAAAATTTCCACCTGAAGCTTTTTCTTGGCTTCTTTTTCCGTGAAGTTTTGGTGAGTGTTTAAAGAAATCCTTTTCGATAATGTAAGTGTAACATATTCTTTAAAGGACCAACCGACCCAATCATGTGTGGCAGCTTTGGCTTTGGCTGTGGTCCCTATGGCTATGGTCCTTCAGGACCCTGCGGACCTTGGTGCGGTCCGTGGTGCGGTCCCTGTTCGCTGTCACTGGGACCCTGCGGCTACTCGTGCTGCGGCGGACCCAAGGGCTGTGGGCCATCCGGGCCTGCCTGTTGGCCCTACGGTCTGTACACCTGCTAGGCTTCAGAAGGATTTAAGGAACACATCAGCCATAACCCCAGGTGAGGTGAGGTCTTGGGGGGGGGGCAAGGGGTGGCAATAAAAATTTCATTCGCTTCCCGTGGATGGATGCTGGTGCGGAGGGTTATCGCAATTCAATAACTGCACAAAGCGAGACGGCGGCTTCGATTGTTTGGCTCGATTGTAAACAAAACTCTAATTTGAATTCTTGAGCCAAAGAGAGGAAAGTCGCATCAGTTGTGCGAGTGTGCAAAGGGGGGGGAAAGAGCTGATTTCATTTCAGAGGCCTCACCCGGCGTCAACAGGCAAGCAAAAGAGACTGGGGACTGCCGTGTGTGTTGGCTTTATTACAAAATTTTTCGTGCTTTTGCCTTTGTTTATTTGAACTGCCGTTCGGCATTCGGCCCGCCTGCAGTGCGTATGAGGCCCAGCATCCAATTTGAAGCCCCCATTGGCAGGGCCTAAATGCGGGAATGTCGGCCATTCCGAAATTTGCAATGTGCACAGCTTGAAGGCTGGGTAATCTCGTACATTAACTATATTTCATTTTCTTTGCAGGTGGGTCCGTGATAAGCATATGGAAGGAGTGAAATTTGATTACGCAGTCATGGTGCTCATTAAAATTTGGAGCCAATCCTAATACCTAATACATTTGTGTGCTTCCTCGGAGAGGGGGTTGTGAAACTCATTGGCGCCTCTAAATGATCCCAGCCATCCCAGCAAATTTGTCGCCTAAGCCTTTAACGGCTCTTGGGAATCCGAGGTCTTAGCGTGTCTGTTCGTTTTGGGGAAAGCCAGTAGGCATCTTGCCTTTCACCCCGTGAACCTGTGTACTTCCCATTTGCAAACATGTCTCGGCAAATGGCTGCCGGCTATGACTTCTCTCTCCCTCGCCGCCTACGAAAAGTCTAAATGAAAACCGAAAGTCAGAGCTTCTTTTGCTAGTAGAGGAAGTTTGGTATCCTCTGTTGCTTTGTAATGTGTCGCGTTATTTACGAGTTTCCAGTCACTGAAAACTCTTTCAGGTATGTCGACTTGACGTTTTTAATTTAACGCAAAAGGTACTCCTTCGGGTGACGATGAGGCACATAGGCTCTAGGTAAGCAGTCGGCACAGCACCGGAATGGCACAGCCTTTGGGATTAAGCAGGCATTTTATGGGCAGGCACAGACATTGGTATCTAATCCGAGGCCAAAACTATCCCCAATTTTCCTAGCAGGGTCCAGCTCTTCGATAAGCCTTAAAGCGCATTGTGGTCAGCTTTGGTGCCTTCTGCGGTCTGCATCACATTGCTTTTAGGTCCAGATCTTGATGGGATGTGTGGGGGCTAAAGGGATTCAAAAGCCCAGGTGCCGTTGTGTCATATAATGTTGCCAAACATGGGTTTAATATAGTAACCGAATTTTTTACTAGAGCACAGGAATACTATAAGTTTGGAGTACAAGGATTGTAAGTAAGAGGCAGAGGATATTTTCAGATCATGATGATCTGCTTATGTTTACCGACGCCTCAAAAAGTTTAAATTAATAACAATTCAGCTTTGAGAAGTATAGTTCAACCTTCGGACTGCGTCGATCAACAAGAAGTTGGTTAAGTTAGAGAACAAGTACTGCCATCCTGATAAGGCAAGGAGAGTTTACCATCAAAGTTTTTGCTAATTGGCATATGAGGATTACCAATTCCCTATGACGGCCTCAAAGATCCTTGATTTGCTTATAAGAGAGATCACGAATCCCTTCCTTGTAGAAAGCACTGGATCTCAGGCAGATCTTTAGGATGTAAACACGGTTTAGGCACTCCACCTAAGATCAACAGGATCAACTACTAACAGTGACCCTCGATCCTACTCAGGCTATCAATTCATAAAACATTTTAATTTTTATAGCTTGTATTAGCTTTTGCTTCTATTAAGACATGGTATAAAGTATAATATTTTAAGACTCGATCGCACACACAAGTCAAGGTGGGGTAAGGTGCTCAATCTAATGGTGTTTTTCTCAGGAAATCCGATCCGTATTAGCTTCTCTTCTTTACTTAGGCCTGGGGCTGCACGCATCGTGTGTTCTCAGGCAGATCGCAGATTCCCTTAAGCGCGTTGAAATACTTGTCGCCGCAGCTTACCTGCAGTGGTTTTCCGTAGCGGCAAACATAGTAGTCGGAGCAGCTCTTCAGCGAAGCCAACATGAAGCCGTCGGGCTTATTACGGCACACATACTTTGTGTAGGTGGCGATGCTCATCTCCTGAGCCTGAGGGCAACCAGCTGAGCGGCCTCCACTAGGGGTCGGGCAGGTCGGATGGGTCTAGCTGGACGCACCTTCATGGATGAGACCTGAGCCTTAGCGGCAGAGTTTCCGCTGCAGGGAGTGGTTACTTCACAGGGTGTCGTAGTCTCGACCGGGCCACAGGTTGTTGTAGTCTCAGCCGGAACACAAGTTGTCGTTGTCTGAACGGGACCACAGGTTGTTGTAGTCTCAACTACTGCTGGAGAGCATGTTGTAGTAGTCACAACTTCGGCTGGAGAGCATGTTGTAGTAGTTACAACTACGGCTGGGGAGCATGTTGTAGTAGTTACAATTACGGCTGGAGAGCATGTTGTAGTAGTCACAACTTCGGCTGGAGAGCATGTTGTTGTAGTCACTACTGCTGGAGAGCAGGTTGTAGTAGTCACAACTACTGCTGGAGAGCAGGTTGTTGTAGTCTCTACTGGTGCAGGAGCACAAGCTGTAGTTGTAGCGGTTGTCGTTGTGCAGGTTGTAGTTGTGCAGGTGGTAGTAGTTGCGGTTGTAGTTGTGCAGGTTGTAGTTGTGGCGGTTGTAGTTGTGCAGGTTGTAGTAGTGGCGGTTGTAGTTGTGCACGTTGTAGTTGTAGCGGTTGTAGTTGTGGCGGTTGTCGTTGTGCAGGTGGTAGTAGTTGCGGTTGTAGTTGTGCAGGTTGTAGTTGTGGCGGTTGTAGTTGTGCAGGTTGTAGTAGTGGCGGTTGTAGTTGTGCAGGTTGTCGTTGTGGCGGTTGTAGTTGTTGCGGTTGTAGTTGTGCAGGTTGTAGTTGTGGCGGTTGTAGTTGTCGCGGTTGTCGTTGTGCAGGTGGTAGTAGTTGCGGTTGTAGTTGTGCAGGTTGTAGTTGTGGCAGTTGTTGTTGTGCAGGTTGTCGTTGTGGCGGTTGTAGTTGTTGCGGTTGTAGTTGTGCAGGTTGTAGTTGTGGCGGTTGTAGTTGTGGCGGTTGTCGTTGTGCAGGTGGTAGTAGTGGCGGTTGTAGTTGTGGCGGTTGTCGTTGTGCAGGTGGTAGTAGTGGCGGTTGTAGTTGTCGCGGTTGTCGTTGTGCAGGTTGTAGTTGTGGCGGTTGTAGTTGTGGCGGTTGTCGTTGTGCAGGTGGTAGTAGTGGCGGTTGTAGTTGTGGCGGTTGTCGTTGTGCAGGTGGTAGTAGTGGCGGTGGTCGTTGTGGCGGTTGTCGTTGTGCAGGTGGTAGTAGTTGCGGTTGTAGTTGTCGCGGTTGTCGTTGTGCAGGTTGTAGTTGTGGCGGTTGTAGTTGTGGCGGTTGTAGTTGTGGCGGTTGTCGTTGTGCAGGTGGTAGTAGTGGCGGTTGTAGTTGTGGCGGTTGTCGTTGTGCAGGTGGTAGTAGTGGCGGTGGTCGTTGTGCATGTTGTTGTAGTCTCTAGTGGTGCTGGAGAGCAGGTTGTTGTAGTCTCAACAGGTGCTGGAGAGCAGGTTGTTGTAGTCTCAACTGGTGCTGGAGAGCAGGTTGTTGTAGTCTCTACTGGTGCTGGAGAGCAGGTTGTTGTAGTCTCAACAGGTGCTGGAGAGCAGGTTGTTGTAGTCTCAACAGGTGCTGGAGAGCAGGTTGTGGTAGTCTCAGCTGGTGTAGGACCGCACGTTGTCGTTGTCTCTACAACACCAGGAGCACAGGTTGTCGTAGTCGTCGCTGCTCCGGGAGCGCAAGTAGTAGTCGTTTCTCCAGCACATGGAGCCGCAGATTCTCCGGCAACTGCAATAGCCGAGGATGAAGGCTGAACCTCAATGCAGCCTGTGTTGTAGTTAACACATCCCTGGACCTTGGAGTCGAAGAAGCGGGAGCAAGTGTTCACAAGGGCCACTCCGGACTGACACTCGTAGTACTGGGAGCAACTTCCCGGGACGAGGGCGCGGAATCCGTCAGGCTTGTGAGCGCACACATAACGCCTGTAGAGCTGATTGTTGATTGTCTTCACAGCGGGCTGCACACTGGCGGCACTGGTGCTGGCCACCAAAATGGCGACACAGGCAATTACTGCAAGAGGAACACGGGTTAGTCTTGGTTCGACCTGGAGGGTCCGAAGTCCTTGGGTCCATACTTATCGCACTGTTCATTCTGTCGGCAGCTATTCCTTTGGGTGGCTTTTTGAAGCTGCGTTAGACTCGTAGGGAGCAATGGGCTCGAATGATTGTTTCGCAAGTGTCGCTGTCTTTTATATGAAAGGTATTCTCAGATGATATGTACCATTGACTGGTCTTATCAGTACTTCTGATATATAGAAGGAACACTAACTGTGCCTTTGGCGGCGACCTTGATTTTGTCTGGGATGCTGATTTGATGGCGTGCGCTATCTCTTGGATACGGATGTCGGCCCCAAAGATTTTAATTTCTTTAATTGTTTGCGCACGTCGGAACCGGCAACACGGGGAATTTCGTACACACGTTTCCCATTTCCTTTCATTGATCATGAGATCTTAATAGAGTTCGCCACTGGCATATAACATGTCAGGTAGCAAAATTTGCGGTAAATGTGCAAAATCAACTTACTGTGTAAGAAGGAGATCCAGCTTCCCTTCACACCAAAACCCAACCAACTCAAGTTCCCATCTCCTTGGAGTACTATCACGCGTATTTGTGTGCGGTTGGGCCAGGTGACGTTAATTTATCAAAGGCATTTACAATTGTTTAATTAATTAGATGCATACTACAGATGCACAAAGGCATTCAATACATAGACAGCGTGCTAAGCAACAAATAGGGTAGCCATGTTTTCAACTCCACATATTTGACATCTCCCTTACGTTGTCCATGACTGTTTCTGCACTTAATTTTACTTATAGATATATCAAAACTATCGCAATGTATTAAAATAATTTAAATGTAAATACTTTCAAAGTGCTACAAGTTTTGGTAGAGGTTAAAGGCTATCACTCAAGGTTAATTTTCTTCAAAGAAAAAATCATTATTTATTTAAATTAATAAAATTATATATCTGACTGATCAGAAAAGTCTGAATTTTTAGTACTCCCTGTAACATTCATTGTACTCAAGCTGCTATACCCTTTTACTCTTTAAGTGCCGGGTATAAACAGCTGACTGTCGATAACAATCAATGCAGTACTCATACAAACAAAATTTATATACATACATATGTATATACATGACACAACATTTAATTTTGATAATGAAACAAGTTTAAGTGCACGTGCAATTTCGTGATCATATCAATTGTGTGTCGGAATCCGTGATAAGTATTTGCATCCCATGTCAAATGAGATACAATTACAGAAGTCAATAACCTATTGGGTTTTATAATTCGATATTTGAACTTGAATAACAACATCAAATAATAATATTTAATATTAAATTAATTAAATTTATTATTAAAAAACAAGTATTCAGGCTCAGGCAATAGTTGAACATAAAATTCAGTTTCTTGTTCTCAAAGAATTACACCATATAGTATAACGAATTAAAAAATAATTAATTAAAAAACAGAATAAGAAATATTTATGGTGGCTTGGTCACCAATCTTGAGAGATTCTTTGTATATATTCAAGAACTTACTTTTGTCTTTCTTGAAACACCGATTAGTTGGTTAAGATTAGAAATAATGTAGGTATCGCGGTAAAGATAAGCAATCCCTTGTAGTTATTGATTTCAAATTAGAACTTATTCGTCCCAAAATAAGCTGCGAATGATTAAAAGGCCATTAGCGTCGTCAGGAAAATACAATCCAGTATAAATATTTTCTTATAAACAATGAAAACTTGTTAACCTAGAAAAGGCGTTGCACATTATTTTTCACAATACTTTTAATGTAAAATAATTTATTTGCTTGGGAACAAACCTTAATACAAAAACTCCATATAAATGTAAACATATTTATACACATACATATATTATAAGTCTACAGTGAATAACTAATAATGTTTAAAATGTTTCATGTGTTGCAAAAGTGTTTTGACGACATTATTTTACACTTGACTTCCCAGTGAAAAAGACAAACAAACAAAAGACAAAAAATTACAGAAAGCAAGAGGAATCCCTTAACCCTTGAACGATCCCGACAGATGCGAAATTGACTTGAATTATCGAATTTCGGGCTTAGTCAGGGCTGCGACCCTTTTACACAGCTTGAACTCAAGTTCAGTTGGCAGAATGAAGCGGAGTCAGGCTAGGCCGGGGCTGAAATCAAACGGAATATAAATCAGTTTAATGATTTCTCTGCCAACAAAAAAAAAATACCAAAGGAATGTAGGGAGACCTTGGGTTTGCCTTCTGGCTTGGCGACCGGAACCGGAAGTCGGCAAACTGTTTGGCAAAAAAATTGAAACAAATATAAAAATGCTGCTTCTGCTTTAACATTCCCGCAATCTGGAAATCGGTCTGCAAGCGACAGTCTCAGTAACACTATGGCCCCCAATTAATTTCCTGCACTTGCAAAAAGGTGTCTTGTATTATTTGACAAGCATACAAGTTGTTCCAAATATCAATTATTATTATTAAATATTTGTAATATAATGCTTATTCTAATAAGTAATTAGTTTGCAGTGTTTCCTTTTACTAAAATTAAGTTTTATCGCATTCCTCGACGTCCTAACTTACTCAAAAGATATAAATAAGGTGTGATAAGTTATCGGAATTGTCATCCCAAATATACTTAGAATCTTTTGATTCTGATTCTAAAATAACTTTAGGATGTCACAAATGGTATAGAAATCTGAGATATAATTTTATTTGATTGCTAAAAATTCTAAAACTTGGACAAACTAACATATGTTTAACCTTTTTGTCGAATTTTCTACATTCAATCATTTTCATGATTTTTCCTTCGCTCTAGCTTTTCCTTTTTCCTCTGCACGTACCGCTCCCGTGCTGTATTCCACTGAGCTAGTTTCCGCTGGCTGTGTTCTTTATGGACATCTACCTGTTTCCTTGTCCTAAGCTCGTGCTTTCGTACCTGGTTTTCAGTCTGCACACAACAAATGCGACAACTTCGGCGCATCAACCGCTTCAAATTGAACTTCTTTCTCCTTTTTCTTATTAGTTTTTCTTGCTGCTCTACAATTTGCTGTCGATCGGTTTTTGTTCTGAGTAGCCGCTGCATACCACACATAAACAGGATTAGGATGGCAAAGATGGCAACGAAGGCTAGGGCCGTTTTGACCTGGTCATCAACTTCCGGGACTTTCCATTCCCAGGTCAGTTCCTCCTTCAGGTTATGACAGTCTGCGGGAGTAACGAAATCCATATCCAAATAGATCGCCGGGGTATGACAAAACCACCCCATCGAAAGATCTTTCGGTGAATTACTGCCAAGGATATCTTTACACTTGTCATATGCCTTGGTCATCCATTGCTGGCACTCGGGTCTGTTAATAGGACTCATTGTTTGCAGTCCGAGTGTTATTTATGAGTTTTTTAGAGCAAGGTGGGTCTTATATATGAGTGATTTCCAACATCCCACTGAGTTTGATTGGTATTATTATTTAAAATAAATTGAAAAGATCTGAGATTAGGAAATGAAACATAACCTTCCACCAAATGGGAACTACATTTTTCGGGATAACAAAAGTTCATTTAATTATAATTTGTGGTGAATAAATAAGTTATGAAATTTATAATTTGATAAAGTCACAAACGTAATATACTTGTAATATAACATAACTAATATACAATTTTGAATCGATCTATTGATCCAATATAACACTTCTTCGTTTCCTTCTTTGTAAAACCAATAAGATTAATCGTTTTGAAGAGGCTTGAGTAGACTCAATCCTAAGATTATTTCTTCTTTACACATCTCTGAAATCAAACTTGTACTCAAATTTCAGGTACATGTCTTCAAGTTCTAAATACTTAATAACTTTCTTATTTCTTTGTTGGAATAATTAAAGTATATTCAGTAAAGGGAAAACGGCTTTACAAGCGACTCCAACTGACACGGTAGCATGAGAAACAGACGTGTTTGAGTTCCAGGTTAATTTATTATTGAAACTAATGTTGTCGTCTATCAGGGGATGGGGTGGAAAAGGGAGGCAGGCGCAAATTATGAAACTCCACTTGACAAATGTCAGTGACATTAATTAATCGCTAAGATATGACAGAGAAGGGGAAGTACCACAAGGTGAGCTCAGGATCTGCACAGTGTCGGCAAGAACACCGCACATAGTGATTAGGAAGTTACTTTAAAGTTAAGGGCGTTACATTAAATGTGCTATGCCTCAATATTCACAGTTTAAAGAGATAATACCTTTTAGGTATTATCAGGGAATCTGAGATACTTCCGATTTTCTGGGGTGAGGTTGAAGGTATGTAAATTATATTTTTGATTTCAATTGGTGTATAAATAAAATACTTAGTAAATTATACAAATAATGGTACTATTTATACTGATATGGGTTCGCTTCTTAATAACTTTCTTAGTTCTTCCCTGTCATAGTTAATTCCACTAAGGAGAAACTCTATATTTTGTGTCCTTCGAAACATTACTGCTTGATTTGCGTTTGGCAAACGACATTGGCCATATGGAAAGGTTATGATTTATGTCAGGCCAAGCACAATCCATATAAAAACTTATTTTATCATCCTCTCTCTTGTTTGGAGTCATCAGCATTTTGAAGGCACACAAAGCAAATCCCTTGGCAATATCCGAACCCAAAAATTCAGTTCCCCGCATCCCTAAGATATCCCACTCAGCTTTGCTGAGAATATAAAAACATGCAAACCCATAAAGCCGGTAAGAAACGTGTCCATACGTGAAGGTGTGCCTGTGTGCGAGTGCATAAAAAGTAACACCGAAATAAAATAACTGAAATATGCGCAGAGGCCCGCCTTTACGATTGCTGAAGGAGTAAAAATTGTAACGGCCCCAGAATGTACAGTGGTGTGTACAGTGTGTACAGTGGAATTTACACGCTAAATGCGTCCCAAAAGAGAGCAAGCCAAAGTCATTAAATGCTTGTTGGCCAGGTAGGCAAGGGGGAGTTACCAACCACGGGGACTCCCCGAAGACACACTCGTAGGCTCCCGCAAAAAGGTTTTACATGTCATTGCGGCCCAACACCAGCACACACATCCACACACACACCCGTTATAGTGGGGAGCCAGAAATTGACATAAATACATAATGAGCCACAATTTCGTCCCCACCAACACATCTGAGCAAATCCATGATGGCCGGGCCTGAAGTGCGTGGCACTGTACACGATATGTCTGAGGCTAAAAAGCGTACTTTTACTTTAATTTCCCGCTGGAATTGACCAAGAAACCGAGGCAGCCCACGGCGAAAGTACAGACTAAGCCAAGAAAGCGAGCTGTCAACATTTTGCCATCAAAGCGCCTAGTTGTATGCAATTAATGTGCTTGACTTCAGGAGGGTTTGGGAAACTACCTTCCAAGATGGGCTATATATGGGCCCAAATAGCACGCAGTTGAACTCAGAATACATCGAACTTCAGAGGCCCTTCCAGAACTCGCAAAGATCGTGTCCGACTAATGTGAACAGAGTCAAGCAATTTATTAAGGGAAAATCTGATTTTTATATTAGCTAATTGAGCTGCAACACCGACCTTATCTTATCGAATCAGAAACTTACACCAAAGAAACACCGCTCAGATCGATATCTGCTGAATCGAAATATTCATATCAGCATTGGTGCGCTGGCAGCATTGCAGATACTTAAGTCGAATCAGATTCTTCGGTGGAAATACCCTGCTCGTGTATAGAGTACATACCGCCCACGACGACACGGTTTTGGCCTCTGCTCTAATATTAGGGACAAGTTGTTGGCAGGCAAAGTTCACACGAAGCCAAAGCAGCGAACATTCCCGTGAGACATTTTCAATTATTTATTATTTATGCCGGAGCGGGGGGCGGGGGCTGGGGGAGGCGTACTGGCCATATGTGTCGTGTCTTGTTCTATGTGCCCTGTCAGTTGACAAATTTGCAGCCAGGCACTGACGAGCTTTAATGTGGTCCAGGACACAAGGACCTAAAGGTCCTGCAGACAGCCAGACAGCAGAAACGTGGAAATTTCGTTAAGAAAATTATTTACATTTGCAAATTTTATGAGCTTTGTTCCAACTGGAAGAGGGCGGGCAGGTGAGCTCCAAGCTCCAAGCTTCCAGATCCCAGCGCCAAGCTGAAACACGTCTGCATGTTTAATTTAATGCAGTGTGCGAGCGAACCCCACACCGCCTCGGATTCCTGCCATGCGAGCAGGAGATGGAGATGGAGATGGAGATGCTCCTGGCGCCCACTCCACACGTGTGTCGTGCTTTTTAACCGTATTAAATAACATCCCTGTTGGCGTTTATTAATGGCGCAAACTTTTAATGAGAATGTGCATATTTAATTGGAAAGTCAAGAGAGAGTCAGAGAGAATTTTGGCGCTGCCCTAGCAACCGCTAAGATTCTTTTTGTTTCACTCGGCGGGGTCACCGTTGCCCCATTTCCTCCTAGTATGAGCTCTTGGCTTACCTTGGCGCACCTGGGAATGGAAAGGAAATAGGAGCCGCCGGGGTGGTGCTACCAGTGGGAGAGAGTATGAAATGGGTTCTGGGAATGCTACTTAGCGGCAACATCTCATCAGCATTAATGTGCCCTGGTCGTCGTCATAATCAGCGCTGAGGTCGCAAACCCAAATTGCCTTACCGTTTCCCTGGCTTTTGTTACGTTTTTTGAGGCAGCTGGCAAAAAATTTAAAATGCGAACTAATTTGAAGGGGATATTAAATCCCAGCGAAAAGGGGTTTCATGCCAAAAATGGCAGGCGTGCATATTTGACACAGTTTTGGGTTAAGGGTACACTTAACTGAGTACACTTGAAGTTAGGGGTTAAAGAGTATGTCCTTTTTAAAATGCATGTGTGGCCGGATCGTTTTTATTTTTTTGTTTGTAACCAAACGAATCGCTTTAATTACTCCATTTAAAAAAAAAGTTAATTGTAAAATTTTGAAAACTTTCAAAGTGGCAGATCAACTAGAAATTTCACTTGTCAAATTTGATTGCGTTCGCAATTAAATTAGATATGACAAAAAAAATGAACAGACCGTATTGCTCGAAGTAAAATGTACTAGTTTGATTAAAACATTCTGCCACGAACAAAATCAACTCTCAGATGAAGTGAAACCCTAGCTTTTAGTTTATTTATAGTTAGCCAAAACTAAAATTAATCGAGCTGCAGGTAAAACATTTCCCCCTTACTTTGCTTTGGCTTTTTTTCGTTGGTAAACAAAGTTTTGGAAACCCTAACAACACAACATAACATAACATAATTTTTAAAATTCCTTAAATGTTTCGATGTAGCAAATGAAAGCGCCAATCAAGTGCACAGCTGCAGAGCGAGCAAAAATACGTTGCGGACGACGAGGCGTATACGTAACATTTCAACAAATTCGTTCATGAGTTGTGTTAGGTCTGCTCGGGCACTCACAAAAATAAACTGAAATTGTCAAAAAAGAAAAAAATAAAATACAAATGTATGTATTCAAATTCAAGCCAGAGCAGGGAGCGAGGGGGAGCAGTTGAAAGGAGCCAGGACGAGGGCCGGGGCAAGTATCGCGTTTCTGCTGAAAAGTATGCAATGGTAATGGACTTTTAATGTTTGTATTTTTACGATGCTACGTACTGAATACTCCTGCCTGTGACGGTCGGTCGGTGGTTGGGTTAGTGAAGAGCAACGACTCGCTTGACATTATTATTTTTGTAAAAATATAAATTGTAGAATGGTTTGGTGAGAACCTGGTTGCAAAAGAAAATTGAGTACTGTACTTGGGAATATTAGAAAATCAAACTTGTTCTGGTTTTTTTCATGCGATTTATTTTGAATTTGTGATGCACTACCTTCGTATTTTTTTTATCAGAAATCTTCCTAGTAATCATTTAAATACTTTCTTGTCTAAGGGAATGTACTATCGGATTAAGGAGTTTCTTAATAATACAAGCCAGGTTGCTGGTTAATATATTTAATTTAAAATTAAGCAGAAGGTTAAGTTGCTCTAGAAGTAGGTATTAGATAAATATTTAAATATTGAATGACTGAAATCTAAAATTATATTTTCAGTTGCTTAATACTTGGCAACAATTTTAAACTGTAGAGTACGCACTTAAATATTATACGTCTCTTAGCGGATTTCTTCTAAGAACTGGAGCTCAATAAAATATCATTAATTAAATAACATGACATTCTGGTTAAAACCTAAATACTATTCATCATTGTAGTATAGAAAATATTTCGAATAACGTATAAAATAAAGAAATAATACGATTCCATGAACCATTCTTTTAAGAACTATGTATGTATCACCATAATTTTTCTTCACATGAGGAAAACCCCCACGTTACGCCTAATTAAAAGCACTTGGAAATTTAAATACCTCCATAAATGATACTCCACCATCACGGATGTCTGTGGATATAAATCCCAAGTCGGGCATGCAGACAAATGACGGCCCTTTTCGACCCGCCAATTGTCAACTCGTTTCAACAGCTACTATTCAGAACCCGAAACGCATCCCGGCCTGAACTCATGTGGCATGGCATTAACCCCACCGGCACCGACATCGCAGACCGGCAAAAAAAATTGTTTGGCAGCAAAAATTATAAACCACTCGACCATATTTCGTAAGTCCAAAGAGCAGTCACTTCTCCCTCCAGCTTCACCCGTTCCGCCAGAGCGAAAAATGTTTCACGAAAGGACGAAACGAAAAATCGAACGACCAAAAAGTTGCAACGGAAATGCGACCGAGCTAAACGGATCTGAGTGAGGGATATACATAAATATATATATATTTTTTGTATGATGCGAGTGTTTGGTTTTTATATAACTGCGATGCATAGTCCAGACCGCGTCGCGCCAACCGATAAATAAAAGAAATGTGGGTCCACCGTAATTCTCTCGCCCGAGAGCAGCAACAAATTTCCCTTCCCCCCACCGGACTCGCTTCGGTATTTGCGTTGGGGTTTTGGTTATTAAACAGTGGGGGCGGCCGACTCCCAGGCAGTCACTCTCGAGACTAAGGGAATCCTTTTTAATATATGAGCATACTTTTTGGCTGCTGACAGCCACAGTGCGCCGGGGGACCGGAAGCGAGTGGAATTATTTGTAAACGCTTGCGCGGACCAGCCAGTGTGTGTGTGTGGGAGCAGTGCCCGTGCCCGCAGAATGTAACGCTATATTACGAAACAAAAGCTGGAAAAATGCCGAACTGCAGCGCCAAGGCTGGAGGGGGGACGAGACGGACGCCTCAAATGTCAGCCATTTATTAAGTTGGCTTGCAGAGCTCCAAAGGCAAAACGCAGTAGACGGGCAAATGGCAAAAGGCAACTGTCATCCCTAACCAGAAGTCGCTATCACTTAGACGAGACGAGTCCAGTTCAGAGACATTTCTGGTTGAAGCCACCGACAGTCTAAAGATACTTACTAGGGATAAATTCGAATACTACAAAACTTAATATTACTAGTAATTAATGTAATCCTTTAAAAACCAACTACTAACAGATTCAAATTACTCTATATTCTGACAATAATAAATAAACAAATACATTTTTTAGGTTTAAGTGTATTTTTATTATAATAAAGTTGTTATATTATTTGATTTTTGTTTATTGTTGTATTGAATCAGGAATTAGAATATATAGTATCAGGAAGGTATATCAGGAAGGTATATCAGGAAGGTATATCAGGAAGTATATCAGGAAGGCTGAAATGAGATATCTGTCAGAATATATCCGTATTAGAGTTGAGGACTTACACTTTGTGTCAGTGTATATTTTTTATAAGCTGTTTCTGCCAATTATTACAGTTTCAGGTGTATTGATTATTAACTTCCTCCATCTGCTGGATTTCGAATCCCGATTATATTTATTTTGATCATTCTGATCTATGAATATATACATACTGTGTTTGTCTCGATTAAACCTTTATTTTTTTAACGTCTGGACCCGAACCTTTTTATTTACGAATGCTAAAGAAAAATAACATAAATTTAAGTATATTAAGCGAATAGGGATAATCGGTCTTACCGTTTCGGTGGATAATTGGTGTATACCAAGATACCATTGTAAATTCTTTCGGGATCTGAATTAGAATTTGAATAAGAATCCAACAAAATACAAATGTTTAATATAAGCTTACCTGTTAATTTCTTGTATTTATGGTCTGTAAATTGATTACGACGACAGAGCTTGTTTAAGGATTTATTCTTTACTTGTTTAAGAATACTTTTATTACTTGATCAGGTTTCTTTACTAATTGTGTTACTAAATAAAACTATAAAAATTTGTTCGACTATTTTATTTTCACTTTATGCTTAAATCTAGCCGAAATATAAATAAATACTTTTAAATGTTTTTGTACTGAGCTAGATGTGCTTGCTCTGGAATTTGGAACTAAACTGATTATTTCTGGTACTGTTCAATGGCAAGTTAAATTTAGGGACGAATAGAAAACCACAGACTACTTAGTTTTATTACCTAATTAAAATAACATATTTGTAGAGGTAATATTTCTAAAGCCGATAAATAAAACACCAGGGCTCCTGCAAATGTTATAAATGAACACACGTGAGGCAAAAATACGGTAGAGCGATAGGGAAAAAGTAAAAGGACTGAAGTTAATTACCAGGGGAAAAACTTTGGTATTTCCACACTTTTTTTGAAAAAGTATGGACAGATAGTTTTTCTGTCTAAGTTCGTACACGAAGTTATTGTCTGATATTTCGTATATTGCAAGGCATTTCAAAACAAAGAGTTTGATATTTACATAAAGCAATAAAGAGGACTGACTGAAGTCTTGGTTAAAAAAACTTCTCAAAACATATTTAACTTGGCCCAAATTCGGATTGGCGAAAATGAAACATACTTTCATTGGATAAATGAATAAACCATTTCTAAATAAATAAACCGTTGTTAGGTGTAGGTGTATTTTTATTATAATAAAGTTGTCATATTATTGTCAGTTACACTTGTATGTTTTGTGTGTATCAATCGTTAACTTCCTTCTGGAGTAATTTTGATAAGCCGAAAGCATTCAGGAAAACTGAAATGAAATATAGAATTATATCTGTCAGAATATATATAAATAAATACATACTTCAATCGTTGGTTTTTCTTAATTTTCTTTTTTTTTCGAACAGATGGAGCTATAACAGATTAATTTAATTTAGAAATATCCATTTAACTATATGAAGTGAGTTGGGATCAGTCTTACCGTTTAGGTGGATAATTGGTGTAAACCTCAGGTGAAACTTGTGGAGTCTATCTGGATCTGAATTAGAATTTGAATTGGAATCTCTTACAATAAAGGTATTTTATATAAGGTTACCTGATAATTTTTGTAATTACGGACTGTATATTGATTACGATGACGAAGCTTGTTTACAGATTTTTTCTTTGCTTGTTTAAGGATTCCCTCATTGGTAGATTCTTTCAGGATCTGAATTAGAATTTGAATTAGAATAAAACAAAGTAAAATGTGTATATAAAAGCTTACCTGTTTACTTTTAGAATTTATGGACATTTAGATTGATTACGATGACGATGAGCTTGTTTAAGGCTTTCCTCTTTTCATATGTGTTGTTGTTCTTGCTATGGTTTCTTAACTAATTGTGTGAACTATTTTCTAAAAATGAAAACCTTACTCTAAGAATATAAAACTATAAAAAATCGGTTGACTATATATTTTCACTTTATGCTTAAACCTAGCCGAAATATAAATAAATACTATTAAATATTTTTGTACTGAGCTAGTAGATGTGCTCGCTCTAGAATTTAGAATTAAACTGAATATTCCTAGCACCGTTCACAGGCAAGTTAAATTTGGGGACGAATAGAAAAAAAACCACAGACTACTTGGTTGATTATTTAAATAAGAAGTCAAGTTTTCTATCATCGGGTCAAGTGATAATTTTTAGGTTTTTCGGAAATCTTAGGAGTTTATTAAAAATTAGCTTTTTGTGATCATTTTTATAAGATCGATCGCTGTAATCGATTCGGAGAGTCTGAAATATATTTATCATATTTGTTGTTAACAAAGTCAGTAATGACCCATGCATTTACCACTGATATGTATGAATCAAATTTTTAATTTAATTAATTTTTTAGGATCAGACCTTTTGTTAGGACGAACGGGTCATAGTTTCATAATAGGATTCAATCTATAAAAATATTATCAAAGTAAATATATATTATAGACCATTCTTGTAACTGTATCTTATTTTGTAATATTATATTGTATTGCATAAATTCAAGCCCATTGTTTTCAGTTAAATAATCAGGAGCTTGATTTAAAATCAGCCTTAACGGCTTTGGGAAGTTTTTTTTTTTGGGTTTAATAATGGGGGGGGGTTGAAAAAATAAATTTTCGCTGGCCAAATTAATTGAAACTTTATTTGGATTATGAAATTAGCACATGGCCAGTGAGTTCTTGCAGCATTAACCGGTTTTTAATTAGGTTTCACTTTTTTCCAGCGGCTACCGATGGGTCGACGGGGCCGGTGGCTTTTGAAGTGGATCTTTAGGATGAGTGCGCCGGGTGGGGTGGCTTCTGAAAAGTCCTTTCATGAACTTGCGCCAGGCTTTAATTGTGCGGAAAATGTTGGACTAGAGAAAGCAATTGAGGAAATATAGAAATAAAAACAATAATCAAATTCAATTAAGCTTTGACTTGAAGGTAATTCGGATGCCAAATCGAAATGGACGGCACAAGGGAGCCGGCAGTCGAGGCAATCAACCGAAAAATGTAAATGAAAATGAACAGAATGGCAATGAAGTTTCCTTGGCAGAACAAAAATCACTTATGAAATTTGATTGACTGCATCAATGAGTATGTGACTTCAACCACTGACAGATGAACCGAAACTCTCAGGGAAAAAGTTTCGTTTTTGTGGCGGAAACATCCTGACAATCCCGACTCAACTTTTCCCACAGCCGAGCGGTCCTCGGTCCTTGGGAGCCCCCGCCTGCCATCCAAGCGCTCATGGAAATTGACAATCAAATTGCAAATAGCTTTATCTTGTAGTTTGTTTATTTATTTATATCATTTCGTACACTTCCTGTGCACGCCAGGCAACAATGAGCAGGGCCGAGGGGAGTGCCGGCGTGCCGGAGATGGGACAGCTGGCGGCCATAGTTGTTAAGCTCGTCCTGGCCGCCATTTTGCTCGGTGGGGGTGTGGGGGAGCGAGCGGGTGTGTGATTGCCTGTCCTTTTTGGCCTGTTATCCTTGGCTTATGTTTTCAATTAAATTTCCATACAATTTTCATGACATGATGAAATAGCCAGGGCCAGGAACACACATCCAGCGCCAGATCTCGACTCGACTCGACTCAGATGTGACTGACTGGACAATTGCGACTCTGTGTGCGAGCGTGTGTGTCAGTCAATTTATTTAATAACAAACGCACTGCCTGTATGTGTATATGGGCAGTCAGTCACAGGCTGAATGTTACAATAACCCACCTCCGATCCCAATCCTGTTGCATCATAAAAATCGCTGTGGGGATTTCTGAATATACATACATATATCAAGAGCCAAATATTTTATTTCATTTCATTTCATTTCATTTTCACTTTAATAAAGTATCTGAGCAAAATTAAATAAAATGAAGAATGCCTAGGCAGATAGTGTACACTGATCAAAAGTGGAAGAGTGAACCATATTTAGTATTTAATTAAACATATATTAACTTAAAGGTAATTAAGTCTATAATTTACAAAGTAAGTGAGCATCCAAAGGATCTTCTGTAAACTAAATACAACTAAAATCAGTTATATCTGGCTAGGAATAATAAACTATTCCTACTTTTATAAACAATAATTCGAAAGCTAAACAATATTTAAATTTATTTCATTTTCACTTGTTCATATTTTTATTTCTTAGATGTTCTTAATTCTTTTGATTATTTTTATGATGATTTTTAATAATAATATTATTATTACCTATATTAAAAGTTTACATACTGACCTATTGTCAAAGACTAGAACTAAAATACACTAAAATCTTTATCACCTATATTTTTCTTCGGTGTATGATGCTATTGGTTAAAAAACAGTTGACTAATAATCTGACCACTTCTGTGCGAATATTAAAATATCTTACTGATAGACCAGCTTCTTAAATCTTTAAGTTCCCATATATTTTATAGGCAGAAAATAGGAGTTCCCACTAAAAGATAAATTCAAGCTCTAGCTTACAAAAACCAACCAAAAATATCCGACTAAATAAAACCTATACTCTCAACCAGGAAAAATATGAACTCTGCAAAGACGTACATATCTACATTTACCAAAAGGAGTATAATATGAATTGGACATATTAGAGCCTTAGTTTTGATGTTAACACATAAGAGTTATTTCAGACCGGAACTGGCATAATAATAAATTAGTTAATACAGTCTCAATATCGCCCTTTGAAAAGGCTACTGCAGTTCGATACTTTTGATTAACTTTATTTAGTTTGTTATTTATGTCAATCAACTTTATGAACACCATTTCGGCGTCAAAGGCTTTTCTTTACCATCATACGCGAATTTTTCAAATGAAAACGTCGGAGTGGGAGTGGCAAGCTGCTGATTGACAGACAGGCTTAATAAAATAATAAGCCCAGGCATGTGAGTTGGCCAAAACCATTATTAAACAAAGGGCAAAATGAAAATAATTGAAATTGCAAAAAGTTAATTTCACTTATCTGAATCATTTGACTGTCAAGTGGAGAAACTTTAATGGACGAGGCAGGCAGAAAAGAATCAACCGGAGGGAGTCTCCGGCGGAAGAATGTGTCAGGTGAACAGCCCCTCCTGCGGGTCTCCTGGCCGAAGCATCCGAAGCATCATTTCAATCAAATGTTCTTGTTTATGACAGCCGCAACGAGTATGAGGCCGAGCCATGATTTATCATTATGCGACTCTGCCCGACCCGGAGTCTGCCACTCCCGGGCCTGGCTCTGACCCGGATGTTATGCAACATAAGTATATGTTCAATATATAATGGCATAAAATATATGATAACCTGCCACATAAATAAAACAGCAGGGCTCCTGCAAATGTTACAAATGAACACACGTCAGGCAAAAATACATGTAATGGTAAAGCGATAGGGAAAAAGTAAAAGGACTGAAATTGATAACAACCAGAGGAAAAACTTTGGTATTTCTACGCTTCTTTCGAATAAAGTACAGACAGATAGTTTTTCTGCCTAAGTTCGTACACGAAGTTATTGTCTGATATTTCGTATATTGCAAGGCATTTCAAAACAAAGACTTTGATATATTTACTCAAAACATATTTAACTTGGCCCAAATTCGGATTGGCGAAAATGAAACATACTTTCATTGGATAAATTAATAAACTATTTCTAAATAAATAAACCGTTGTTAGGTGTAGGTGTATTTTTATTATAATAAAGTTGTCATATTATTGTCAGTTACACTTGTATGTTTTGTGTGTATCAATTGTTAACTTCCTTCTGGAGTAATTTTGATAAGCCGAAAGCATTCAGGAAAACTGAAATGAAATATAGAATTATATCTGTCAGAATATATATAAATAAATACATACTTCAATCGTTGGTCTTTCTTAATTTTCTTTTTTTTTTCGAACAGATGGAGATGGAGCTATAACAGATTAATTTAATTTAGACATATCCATTTAACTATATGAAGTGAGTTGGGATCAGTCTTACCGTTTAGGTGGATAATTGGTGTAAACCTCAGGTGAAACTTGTGGAGTCTATCTGGATCTGAATTAGAATTTGAATTTGAATTTCTTACAATAAAGGTATTTTATATAAGGTTACCTGATAATTTTTGTAATTACGGAATGTATATTGATTACGATGACGAAGCTTGTTTACGGATTATTTCTTTGCTTGTTTAAGGATTCCCTCATTGGTAGATTCTTTCAGGATCTGAATTAGAATTTGAATTAGAATAAAACAATGTAAAAGGTATATATAAAAGCTTACCTGTTCACTTTTCGTATTTATGGATTGTATATTGATTACGATGACGATGAGCTTGTTTAAGGATATTCTCTTTTCATATCTGTTATGGTTCTTATTATGGCTTTTTAACTAATTGTGTGAGCTATTTTCTAAAAATGCAAACCTTACTCTAAGAATATAAAACTAAAAAAAAAAACGGTTGACTATATATTTTTCACTTTATGCTTAAACCTAGCCAAAATATAAATAAATAAAATGTTTTTGTACTGAGCTAGATGTGCTTGCCCTGGAATTTGGAACTAAACTGAATATACTTGGTACTGTTCACAGGCAAGTTAAATTTAGAGACGAATAGAAAACCAGGCTACTTAGATGCATATTTACAACCACAATTTATTCTCGTATCAAACGGTGACGATATAAAACTCAAGTTTTTTTACCTAATTAAATTAACATATTTGTAGAGCTTATATTTCTAAAGCCGATAAATAAAACAGCAGGGCTCCTGCAAATGTTACAAATGAACACACGTCAGGCAAAAATACATGTAATGGTAAAGCGATAGGGAAAAAGTATAAGGACTGAAATTGATTACAACCAGAGGAAAACTTTGGTATTTCTACGCTTCTTTCCAATAAAGTACGGACAGATAGTTTTTCTGACAAAGTTCGTACACGAAGTTATTGTCTGACATTTCGTATATTGTAAAGCATTTCAAAACAAAGAGTTTGATATATTTACATAAGAAAGCAAAAAGGAGAACCGACTGAAGTGTGATCATTTACACTTATGCTGTACAAAATCTACTCAAAACCTTTTTAACAAAGCCCAAAATCCGATTGGCGAAACCATTTTTAAAAAAGAATATACCGTTTTTAGGTGTAAGTGTATTTTTATTATAATAAAGTTGTTATATTATTGTCAGATCCGCTTGTACGGGTTCGGGTGTATCAATTGTTTACTTCCTTCCGGAGGAATTTGGATAGGCCGAAAGCATTCAGGGTGGACTTCCTTGGAAATATAGAATAATATCTGTCTGAATATACATATATAAATATATACATACTTTGTTTACATCGTTAACCTTTATTAATTTTGTTTCGAAGAGATGGAGCAGAAGCAGATTAATTTACGAATGCTAAAAAAATATCCATTTAATTATATGAAGCGAGTTGGGATCAGTCTTACCGTTTAGGTGGATAATTGGTGTAAACCTCGGGTGGAACTTGAGTCTATCGGGATCTGAATTAGGATTTGAATTGGAATCTCTTACAATAAAGGTATTTTATATAAGGTTACCTGTTGATTTTTTTTTTTTTTATGGGCTGTATATTGATTACAACGTCACATCTTGTCTAAGGGTCCATTCTTTACTTGTTTAAGGGTTCTTTCTTTTGATATCTGTTCTGGATCTTGCTATGGTTTCTTAACTTATTGTGTGAACTATTTTCTAAAATGAAAACCTTACTCTAAGAATATAAAACTATAAAAAAAATCTGTTGACTATATATTTTTCACTTTATGCTTAAACCTAGCCAAAATATTAATAAATACTTTTAAATATTTTTGTACTGAGCTAGTAGATGTGCTCGCTCTAGAATTTAGAATGAAACTGAATATTCCTAGCACCGTTCACAAGCAGGTTAAATTTGGGGTAGAATAGAAAATCACAGACTACTTGGTTGTTTTATTTAAAACCAAAAATAAATACTCGTATTAAAAGGTGACAATATAAAATTCAAGTCTTATATCTATTACCGAATTAAATTATTTGTAGAGCTTCTCTTTCTAAATCCAAGAGACTATTAATAATAAGCTCGGGTTAATTTAACCACAAAACATATTATGATTTACATTCAAGCTAGGGTGTGACGAAACGCTCTTGAAGCTTAAACTGCCTCTGGTCAGACCAAGGCCAGACCTTGTCTTGGTACAACAAATGCCTTCGTTACTTAGTCGAACCCTGAACTTTGACATATATAGCTTAATTACGTAGAGTGGTCTCAATAAAATCAAATCAAATGTGATAGAATCTGAAGTGAAATTAAAAATCAACTGGCGTCGTCAATTAAAAAGAGCCAATAGATAAAATGAAACTCCATGGCAGTTCAATGGTCAAAAGGCAAACCTACAAGTGGTGAGAGCTCGGCAGTCAGCCGGACAGACGGGGCCATTCGATGGATGGTGTTTATCCAGGATTCAGATGGAATCAATGGCCGGCGCGGCGCGTTTATTGAATGAATTAGACGGCCATCGCATAGAGTAGCCATTCGATGGGGATTCCATTGACTGGTCAGCCGGCCCGTAAGCCTAATGTAAACCCTCCCCCAGTGCTCCGTCGCGCCGGCAGATGTCGTTGGATCTACACAGAAAACGTCCATTAGCTAAGCAGATTAATTGCTAAAAGGTATTTAATTCGTGATTCCTTTATATTTCAGCGCGCCATCCTCCGCCTCCACCGAGGAGCACTCATCCAGTCATCCATCGCTTCAGCCTGACGCATTTTTCACTCTGCTCCGCTTCAGCTTTTCCTTTTATTCCGCTCTACTTTATTTTTCTGCTCCACTCCGCGCTGCGCTTTTTTGAGCTCCTTGGAAATATGGCGTTAAGAATATCCCTGCTCCTGCCTTTATTTTTTGTCACTTTTTAATGCTTCATTAGCTGCTAATGGATTCGGGGTTGGGACTACTGAAGGTCGGGGAAAATGTGGCTGTGGCTGTGGCTGTGTCTGTGATTTGCCTTTGTGTGAAATTCGTTTAAAAGATTGTTCGAAAACGTAGCAATACAATGCGGTTTTCCGAACAATTTTTATACATACCAAATATTTGAATTAAAGAAAGGTACATACTACCAAGGACATCTGTCAGTGGCACGAATCACAGTTTCGCAAAAGATGTACATACATCTACATAGTCTTCCCATCCATACAAGACAAGAAAGATGGTAAAAATAGAAAAAACTTTTGTGATTTATGTGCAAATAAAACAGAAAAGCTAGTTTTATGCCCTGCAAAAGGAAAATGAAAAGAGAGGGAGTGCTATTCAGGTGGCAATGAAGTAGGACATCAGGTAGAAAATGAAAATTACCGCTGCAGCTGCTGTCAAGGCAAACAAGCAGAACGGCGCTGCGAGGACAACATTCCAGGAAAACTCTGCAGGCAAGCTCAGGCGGGATAGCCAAGTTTAGAGCAAAAAGAAAAGGGAAAAGCGTCAGCTGCGCCTAAAGTGAAAGCTTCTCGGCCAAAGTTCGTCAGATTTCATAAAGAAAAAGAAGGAACTATAAAGTTGGAAAATCTAGAAAACAAACTTTTATAGAGTAGGCACAGATGTAAAGAAATAACTGATATAGTATTGAAGTATATATAGTAAGGCTTGAAAGCATATTATTTAATAGATTTATTGCCACAAAAAATTTAGTAAACAGGAAAGCTTGTCAACTTGGTTAGTAGTTTGTATTATTAACTCTGTTTATGGGGTATGTGGTTCGTAGTGCAATCTGAGGCTCATCATATGACATTCTCGTACATCTTTGGATTGCGCTGAATATTCTCTTCCATGATCTTCTTTTGCTGCACATCCAACATCTCCAGCCTGAGCAGGACATCCGGCAGGACCTCGCGCACCTTCAGGCGACTGAACTCCGGGCCGTCACGCATGTCCACGTTGGTTCTGAAGTTATAATTGGGCGTGTATCCATTGATCTTGAGGAAGTGGTCAAAGTAGAAGGGCACAATCTGCTCCTGCATGTTGTCCGCAACCAGCAGGGAAGTGTGCGTTCCTTGGTCACCGCTAAAGCCGTCTTCCCTGAAGGCCCGCACAAAGTTCTTTGTATGCTCGGATATCACAATCTCCTCCTTTTTCGGCGGAATAACCCTCTTCTTAAGATAGAGCCTGGGCAGACGTCCTTCACGCTTAGGCTTCTTGTATGGTGGCTCGAGATTCTTGCGTACCTTTTTCATTTCCATTTCAATGCGACGTTCCACCTGGTAGGCCTGGGCCGATATCTTTTCGCGGTAACGTCGCCGCTTGCGCAATTGGGCCTCCAAGGATCGCACCTTCTGTATATCCAGATGCTCGAACTTGGACAGTATCTCCATGATTACATCGCTAATGGCGGCCACCATGTCAACGGTGTTGGGCAAAACGTCGCTTGTGCCCCGCACTGAGTCGGGGACCACGCGACGCCACACCTCGGCCAGCACGGCACGATGCTTGTTGTAATCCTCATCAGCAATGGTTTCCTCAATGGGTTTTCCCAGATACTCGTGAACCCTATTCTCCATATCCATGGCACGGTCCTCCATGAAGAACTTCTTGGCTGACTTGCGAGCGACGTAATCCTGCTTCTCCTTTAGGTCCTTGGTGCACCAATCGACAAAGGTCTCCAGGCGGCCCTGTAGCTCGGTGTGAATGGAGAGCGTGAAATGCATTTCCAGCAGCAGCATAAAGGTCTTGGTTTTCAGATTTTCAAGGCCTTGCAGGAAGGCCTCTGCATCGGGGAACACCTGTAAGATTGGGTGAGTCTTCTGCATATAAACGTCATAGTAAAAGGCTCGAATGGCCCAGGCATCGTCCTTGTCCCGCACACGAATATTAACAATAGATCGCTTGGCAATGGATATATCGTACGGCTCCAGCTCCATGTCCTCCTCGTCCCCTTCTTCGGGCGCTTCAGGCTCCTGCTCCTCGGAGCCCTCATTATCGCTGCCGTGACGCTTTGATTTCGGCACCAAATGTATCCAGTCGTGCTCAGCACGCCAGTCCTGGTCCCCCATCAGGTAATGGAAATTCTGCAGCATAATGCACCGGATCCAGTGACCCTCGATGAACACAATGTCCATGTTAAGCATCATTAGCTCACGCTCCAGATTACGATACTCCTGCTTCAGCTTATCCGTGGTCTCGTAGTACGACTTCACCTGATAGACCATTGTCATGGCCGCGTTGTACTCCTTCTTCTGCCACTTGGCAAACAGAGCCTCGTACAGATTCTTCGTGTTCTTCATATCGATCCAGTGACGCTCGTTCATCCGATCATAGATCTTGGTGCGCACCATTTGGCCCTGAATCAGCAGGGATTCGTACTTCAGCCGCATGGCGTCCTTTAAGAGCTGAATGCTTGTCTTGAACTTGAACGGCTTAATGGTGGCGCGACTCTTTAGCTCCTCGATGTAGTTCTCGTCGAGGTCCGTGATCACAGCCCCGTAGTACTTGCGAGTCCCGGGTCCTAGGAGAGTTTGGCGCACGTCCGGGACCGGCACTTCGAGTCGCAGGCGAAGGGTGTTTCGCAGACGCGTACTGAAGGTAAAAAACGTATCCTTGGGTCCCAGCATATCGGCCTGCTCCTTGTGCTGGCCAGAAAAGGGTAGCATACGATAGGGATCCTCGTCCTCTGCATCCACGTCAATTACGGCGGCATGAAAACGTCCGCGTCGCATCTCCTCGAATGGTACCAACGGCTTTCGGATGTAGTCCAGGGGCAACTTGGTCTTCTCCCCGATTACCATATAGCTACCACTGTCATTCGATAGATCTGTGCAAGTCGAGCTACTCAAGGAGCTGAGGCAGTTCTCAATGCTCTTAAGATCCTCCTCTAGATCGGCAACGACCGCCCGCCGGTCCACCAATAGTCGCTCCTCGCCCGGATCGATGTCCTTCGTCTCGTAAATGGCCTCTCGGGTCTCTCGCAACAGCTCCAAGTACTGCCTTCTTCCGGGAAAATCCAGTTTCGCCAGCTCCTCTGGATCCCGAGAGTGGAAGACAAAGTCGTAAGGGTGACAAAGGTTATGCACAACTTCGCCAGCAGCCTCCTTGTTGTCGGTCCGGGTGACGGCCAAGTGGTCGGCAATCATCTTATTGAAGTCATAGCTGGGCATGGTCAGATCCTTGTCCACATACTTGCTGCTGGGGGGATGAGCCCGTTCGAATTTGGCTACTATTCTAGGTGGCTTCTTTGCCAACTTGGTGATTTCTGGGACCACAGTCTTTGGCTGATACTGCACATGCACATTCTTCACCTGAGTCGGGGCCCAGTGATCGTGGTGGTGACGTGCCTCCAATATATCCGTATACGGACGCTTCTTGGTACGCACATTAGCGAAGCGGAGTTTTTCCGGTTCCGGCTGCTCTAGCAAAGGCAATGTGGACGTCTTTAAAACCTCGTTGAATATGGCCGATGGAATGCGCTCGGCGGCATAGTCGCGCTGTCGTCGGGGGTGAATCGTTAGGGTCTTCTCACGTTCCTTGGGTGCGGGCATATTTCCCCGATAGCGGGCAGGCTGGATCCCACCACCTGCACGGAATCGTCCACGAGTTTTGACTACGGACCGCTGAGTGATCGGAGATCGGGTGAAGCCATGAAGGCTTGGCGGAGCTCGGTCGTAGCCAGCCTCTAGCCGCTCACTGGATTCGGCCTTTACCTCATCCTCCTCCTGGCCCTGGTTCTGGCCCCCATCGTAAGGAGGCTCAGGAACGGGCACCCAATCCAGGTCTAGCTCCTCCTCCGGAGCCAGACATGGATCAGCCAACCGTAATTGCTCCTTCTCGATGCAGGGCAGGCCAAGCAATTGCATGCGGGCCAGCTTCTTCTTTTGACGCTTTGAGTTGGCCAATTGCTGCTTGAGATTAAGGTACTCCAGCGTGGTGCTCACTTTGTTGGCGTCGAGCACCTCCATCTCCTCGACCGGCACCCGATCATCGGGCACCAGAACCTTCTCGGGAAACACATATCGGATGAGATTGAACTTCCTTACGTTGTAGGCCGGCTTCGGTTTGACGAGCTTAAGGTTCTTGCGCAGCCTGCGGTTGTAATGGAGACCCAAGCGCTGATCGATGAACTCTCGCACTGCACTCTGGCGTTCGCGCCGTCTCATCAGCAGCGGCTCGGGAGGGAAAAGGTCCAGGTTGGGATCGTCAGGATCAAGAACCTTAATGATCCCACGCTCGACATCCAGCTTAATGGGCTCCTTGTGGGGCACCAACTGATTCAGCCACTCATCCCGCGTCAGGCAGCCCTTAATCGTCCGCTGTCCTTTCATGATTTGGTGGCGATGTAGCTTCCCGCGGAGGCCGTCTCCGTGCTTAAAGTGGAAGCCGCGCAGCTGAAACTTGTCACCGATTTTGCCCACCTTCAGGTAGTCCTCATCATCGCTGCTCTGCTCGCTGGGCGTGGAGCCAACGCTGCCTTCGATGCTGTCCTCACAACGCAGCTTCTGCTCCGCGTCCGGCAGGTACTTCAGTTTCCCGGTGCGCTCCAGGAAGAACTGCTGGGTGACCTTGGCCTTGTCGCGGCGCACACAGTCTTCGCGGTGCATTTTCGCCTTTAGGCGCTCCGTCTCCGTCAGCGTCTTGGGGAATACCTTTCGCTTCCGGATGACGGGCTTAAGCTCCACATGCTTCCGAAAGCTGCGCTCAATGGCGTCGTCGATGACGGCTACATCGTCGCGAAGATCCTTCTCGGCCACTGTTCGACCTTCGATTTCTTTGATGGCTACCTCCTGCTTGCGTCGCTCCTGGAGCTGTTCCTCCTCGCGTTGTTTCTTTCGCAAGTAAATATCCTTGTAGCGTGCCGCCCGTCGCTTGCCCTCCTCCTCGATCTTGAGCTTGTTGGCCGGCTTGTCCGGACTGCGGTACAAGTACACGAGGCGAGGGGATCGCGGCGAGACCCGCTCCTCCACTGGCTGATCCTTGATCGTGGTATTGAAGCGCTGCGGCACCGCCAGGCGCTCTTCCCTGAGCTCCTTCTCCACATTCACCTTCGTGTTCTTCTTTGCCTTGCGACGCGCCATGTACCGCTGGACACGCCAGAAGGTCAGGGCATTCTGCTCCTCAATCTCGTCCTGCTCATAAGTTGTCTTGTAGTCCATGCCATGGAAGTCCAGGCCCATTGGGTTCTGCAGGTCAATAACCTCGCAGATGTGCGTATCGGAGGTCTCCGATCCTGTGCTGGCACAGAGATTGTCCCCATGCTTGACCAAATTGCTGATCAGGTTGTATTCCTCCTCCTTCGTCAGCGGCTTGTGACGCATAGCCACTGGATTAATCAGACAGTAGGTTTTGCGCGGATCCTGCGTGAGGAAGAACTTCTTGCGTGCCGGCGTCAACTTGGCCAACTGCTCGTAGTCCTTCGGGCAGCGACCGACGCGAGTCCGATGAGCACCAGCCACAAAGCTGGCCGAGCACGGGCGATTCCACTCATCGCCCTGGAAGTTAGGTGGATGGGTCGAAGGCTGGTGAGCCGAGTCCACCAGCTCCTCTGAGCCCGGCGCTCCAACTACCATTGGCTTGAAGCTTTGCTGCTGAAGACTTTCGGCCCGCGACTTGTGCGGCGTACTGGCCGCAGAGCAACTGGTCTCTTTGATCTTAACCGTCTCCACTCCGTGCCTAAAGTGGGAATTGCTGGTGCTACCAAAATCTCGACCCCTGTCCCGGACCACAGTCTTGCCGCACTCATCGCGCTTGGTCAGTTCAGTGCGTGGGATGTTGGCATCCGGAAACTCAAGATTCTGGACCGTCAATATGTCGTTGGAGTCACGATTACCAAAGAAGTCAATGTTCCGGAAACTTTCAATGGCTCTCTCCTCCTTTGCCTTCCGGCCCGACTGCTTTCGCTGTGGGCAAACCCGCTTTCCAGGGACCTCGTCCTTGGGCTTTGGACTATGCACAACACTTGCGCTATTTGCAGTTTGAAGTTCAGTAATTCTTACCGTTGATCTTTGTTTCGCAGTGAGTTGTGAATTCTTAGAATATCTGGAGTTTCCAGAGATCCTCTTAGTTTGCGACATTATGAGATTTTTATTAGGATTTTAGATCTAATAAAAAACGAAAAGAAGCTTCATTAAATGGATTAAAAAGAGAAATCAATAAAACTGATGTCTTAATAATTACCTGTAGCTATTTCTTCAAATTGCATTACAAAATATAATACAGTAGCACAGGGACGATAGTTACAGGGAGGGCACAGGCTAGACAGCGCTAACTTGTCTCGGCCTGTTTTTTGACTTGGACTTAATCGGTGAAATCTAATGACATGGCTACTAGGTTAAAGCTACTAGGAAGAAGAAGAAGTGTCAAAGATATACTGAAATTTAAAACAAGTATAAAAGTTACAAGCTACATGTAAGATATAAATACTACAAATTAAGTCTGAAGGGAGAAAGTGGCAATCCAAGCGCATCTCCGGACTTTGACAGATTTTCCAATCTGAGCAATCAAATTCACTCCAAAAACGATTGTTTTCATAGTAAATTGAAATTAGAGTTAAATTTATTGTTTTATCCATTCCATTTTTTACTTTACTATCCGAATTTACTTCAACTTTTAGACGACATCCTCATTAGTTTTAATATTACATACTAAACTAATCTGTAAACAATTTCTTTACTCTAGCCACAGACATGTTTTTAATTATTTATTTACACATCAGTTAGCTATTTAAATTGCTTTACTTTTTTTCAAATATTTTTTACAACAAGTTACGTTTTAAAATTAATAAAAAACAATCTTAGGTATACTCACATATATCCATTCGAGGTGGGCAGTTTGATTTACTTTCAGAACCACTACTCGCCACTCATATTGTCGCCCGTCTCTTTGTGGTTGCTTTGCTACTAAAATTAAATCAGGGGAAATTGCCTGGTCTGAGCAGTGGCAAATTTACGTATAATGGAATTTGCACCGCCAATTGCATTGGCCAGTAGCCACACCGACAGGCAGCAGCGATGACAAAGGACCCTGTGGAGGTTATACTTCCTGGGGACATAAAAAGGGCCCAATAGGGAGGATTGCATTGCACTATGGAATATATACAATTTTACTGACATTATTTATCTTTCTGTATGCTTTTTGAACTACAAATATTTCGTTTGATAATTATGTATAACTAGAGCTATTAGTTAACGTGAAAATATCTGTTTTTTAATCATTTTTCCGATTCGATTTCGTTCTACCAACATTTAACCAATATGAAAGTGTCATGGATTTTACCATAAATATTACATTTTGCCCATAGTCTGGACAGAAAACACTAGCCGTCGAAGAAGCTTCATGAAATGAAGTGCAAAATGGACGTGACTGATACGATTTCATCAGCTGCTTTGTCCTGGTTGCATGAAAATATAATAAATCATAAAAATTACTAAAGACACCGAGTGTCAAACCACCAAAAGTAGACAGAGGTATTTTCAAAGGGATGTTGTTAGAGTGCAGACAAAAATATTTACTTAAGAGTAAGTGCAGACAAAGGAATGCATTATTATTATATAATAACTATAAGATATATTAGATTCTGGTCAAGTTTTTAATATACAAACAACAACGTTGCCTCGCTTTAGGAGCATGCATTCATATAAATAATAAAAAACCCAAATAGTTCACATATCAAACATATTTATTTTCGATTCTTTACTAGAAAAGAAATCATATATACTCAAATTCCACATTCCGAAAGTTTAACAGGATTGGTGAAGCTCTAGGAACCCATGTGTGACCAGTGCCTGCCTGGCAAGAACACGCCTTCGCCATGCTCTGTGGCTACTGACCAGCCCCAGGACGACATGGGGAGTGATCCTGGGTGGGTGACCAGTGCTTGGCTTTTTGCAGCTGTAATCAATATGCAAACAAACCATTTGCGCAATAATTACAAAGTAATGCAGCCCCAACGCGAAATGTAAAAATAAACGGCAGCTGCCAGCGATTCGCTTGATGACTTGACCAAGGCTTTAGTCAAATGGATGGCGTCCATGGAAATCAGAGCGGATGGGTGGATGAGGTGGTCTGGTGTGGGCTTGTGGCATGGAACATTGAGGCCATGCCATCACAGTGTCTGTTCTGAATGACGGCCAATCGGTTGCCAATGATAAAGCAATTAATTTGTAATTAAATCGATGATGCAATTGCAAATACCATAGGCTAATCGAAACAGGCAACTGTAATTTAAAAATAAAGCACAGAAACAGAACAGGGTGTTACAAAAGGAGTAATAAAAGGAATAATCATTAAACTAATAGAACGTTTAATTGAATATTCTTGATGAAAATGAGTGTTTTGTGTTCTTACTTACTTGAAAATACTCCTGAATTTACTTATAAAATATTGTGCCACTTGTTAATTAATATTAACGTTAAGGAATGGTTCTTTCACGTTTTTTTATACCAAACCGACACTGAAAATCGATTAGTTTTGAAGTCATTAAGACTACCTACTAAAATCTATGCACACAAAAAAAAGAAGGTAAAAACAAAGCATCAAAAAATAATAAAGTAATTATGGATATCAGTATGTTACTAATAAGTTCAATTTATCTTTTAAAGGACTACATACAAACATTTGCATAGGTTATATTATTTTTATATTTATATATATATATTTTTTTTAACATTTTGGGGCTTAAGAAAATGTATCTAATATTTCGTATAGTAAACTTTATTTCATGAAAACATTATTTATATTTGCATTTAACATATTGTGTTTTGTCAGTGCATGAGTATGTGGGCGGTCAGTTGTTGAATCGATTTTCCATCAACTTTGGCGGTTATTCAATAAAAAATTACTTTATTTTGTAATTAAATCGTTTATCGGGCCTGGACCTACAGCTGCTCCTGCCTTGTCCCGCCTTCTTCTGCCGCCGAAGGCTCCCAGTCAGCTGTGCGCCGCCATATTGGTTTCGCTGATGTCCTGCCTCCTCCGATATGATGCGGCAACTGTACTCCATAGTTTTGTTAGGAAATCGCTTGGGTTGCATTTTAAAATGCAATTTGTTAGCATGACTTTGTTGTTATTGTTGTCATTATTCCCGGCCGCTCCTCCGATGCTCCCCCTTCTAGGACTCTCTATCTCTGGTGGCTGGCACATAAATCACGGCAATTTATTTATGACACTATTTACAGGAAGCCAAGGGACCGGGCGGACGCGGGTGGGGCGACTTGGAGGGGTTGACAACAGCTGGTAGTTGCCGCTCCCCATTCGCTCGGTCGGACTCCACGTGCACTCTACTTAAATAACAATTTCAATATATTGAAATTTACTTTGTCACATGAAAGCTAAACAGCTTGAACTCTGCGGCGTGGCGCAGTCATGACGAAGGAGATCTGTGATGGCATTGGCACTGGCACTGGCACCCATACGGCCACGCCTCCGAATGCCACCCGTCCTTGGGTGATGGGTTTTCTATACCCCACATGCCCCTCATGTATGTAGGTATTGGAAAAGTGCTACCGTTGCATGCTTTCATTTTATGCTATTTACATTTTTATATTTTTGCTCTACGACACACCGCAAACAATTTTTACTGCCACTTTCTGGGAGGAAAGGTATAACTGGCTAGTCATTAGGTTTGTGACATTAGGGAATTAAATAAAAATTTATAATGCGTGTTGGTTAGCTCATTTGGCATTAATTTTGTGTTTAATTACTGTGTAATATAGGTAAAAATACTTAAAAACTTCAGGTTTATTAAAATATTATTAATATATTATTAAAATACAAAAATATAGTCTTCTCAAATATAGTTTCAATCGGTTTTTAGGTCGTTACCTCTAGTAATCTTAACTTCTAAATAAAACTAGAAAAATAACAACATGATCAACTTTATTTTTAAGTAAACCAGCAATTTGTGAGTGCACATTATTTTATTTCAAAAACTAAACAATCAAAAAGTTATAATTCTAACTTCTGTTCCTACAAAACAACCCTTACTTCACCCAAAAGTTTATGATAAATATTCTCCGTAGGGTATTTCCTCTTCTTTATATAAAAGCCTTTATTTTGCTTACGTTTTATATTTCTTTTTGCAATTTGTTTTTCAATTTTGTTATGTTCTGTTCTCCTCCCCCTGAACGGCCGTACCTTTTTCAGTTTTTGTACCCATTCAGTCGCTGTCTGCAGTTTTTAACATACAAGACTCCATCGTGGCCAGTGCCAGGAAAGGAGCCTGGGTAATGTCGGGGAGCAGAGTGGACTGGAGTGGAGTGGGTTGTGGTGGGTGAATCGTGTTACCGGCATGGGGTCGGCATCCTCTCAAAAAGACATCAGGTGCTGCACGTTGTGCAGCAGCTTATCTCAAATGATTTATAAACTACCAACAGTGGCGAGGCCAAAGCCATTGTCATTGCATAAAATATGCTAACAATACACCAACATCAGCTGGGGGATCCGATAGGAAGAATTCAAATAGAGATGAGAGCTGAGGAGAAGAGGGAAGTCCTTCTAGGCCCATCGGGGAATACCCGTTTCTTTCGATTGATGTGGTAACTGAATATATATTGCAAGTATAAGAATCAAGATCCTGCAACATTTAAAAAGAAAAACAATTTTTCTCATTCTCTAAACTCTTAAAGATACAGTAAGCAACTCAAAAGAAGCTGTTCCATTACAAAAGGAATTATTTATGTTGTTCAATGCAGGGGTCATATACAAGGACTCATGCCACAGGAAGCAGGCATATCATGTGCTAAGCAAGTGAGGCATCTTCAGGTAAATTTACCTCCACCAAGCCTAGCACAGCACTCTCACCTCTCTCCACTCTGTAATTGTTACCGAATTTTAATAAAAATCATTTTCATGACGGAAGCTCCTGGCATCCAGCAGCCGCCTGTGAAACATAATGCCCTGTCAAATATATTTCAAAGGACCTGAGTTGGTTGCCGTTCGAGATGCCCCCACCAGTCGGAGCTCCTGTTCCTGCACAGTTTCATTTCCCTCTTCAGCCATTCCCGAGATGGTAATGCAGGCGATGGAGTCCTTGTTGCCGATACAGGCTTCGAATTACCCAAAAGAAAATGGCGACAAAAGTACATTTCCACATACAAACTCGACGAAGAAAAAAAGTGGAAATTGAAAACAAGTCAACACGACTCGCAAGGGGGGAGTCATATATTTTTTTCTTTTTACTGAAATGAAAGTCAGTTAATTTGATTTGAAAATGTAGAATGCTCAGTTGACAAAGTAGGCCCAGAATATAGCTGGAAGCAAAGAGGCCACTAAACAAGGTTGCTATTGTCCCTCAGGTGACATTGTTACACATATAAATATATATTATGAATCATTTAATAGGAATAA